AATCTTGTGCAAATGGGGAAATTACACATAACTTTTGGCTGCAAGTTGATGGATAGACAAAGAAAAGGGGAGTGGCTATGGAAAAAGACATTCCAACAAAGACCTTAATTGCTCTTGTTTGTTAACTTTGTCTCTTGATTCCCCTAACAATTCCTGCCTCAAACTATTACAGAATATTTTTATTCACTCTTTTGTTAGCTCTTTAGTCACGAAGAATGAAGAAAATCACCTCAGTTGGCCAAAAACATGAAAAGTTTTCTTACTACTGTAAGACTAATCTGTTCAATTGTTTTGCACACAAACAACTTGACAAAAAGTTAGACAGAATAAAAAGTCTAGAGTTCAACAAAAACAGGAAGAGATTTTAGTTAGTAAATAAAATACCAACTCCCAAAGAAACAACTTAAAGTTAACTCAAAGTAACTTAAAGTTAATGCAGTTGTTACTAAGGTCTGTAACAACCGGATTTCGAAGTCAATGAAAGCTGTGTATAGCATGCTAACTAAGAGCTAGTCTATAGCAAAGTAAAGTTTGACCACGATATCACAGATTGATGAAAGGTTTGCGTAGTAGGTTTGCGACAAACACACAAACACACAGTCTGGAAACACCCAAAAGTCCGTAGGCATGAAATGGCAGCCAGGCCAACATTATCTTGGATGCTAACCTGTTGTAAGAGTTTATTACAAAGGAATTCAAAGTGTGTGTTGCATGACAACTGAAATGTGTGTTAGCCAAACACTTATCGGTAACTGACAGGTTTAAGTAATAGCAGCTCTATAATAGGACATAATGACAAGTTACATAACAGAGTCTCTTAAATCATATTTGGCATCAAAGCACCGGTGAGGAATTTGACTGAGTGTGTGCAGCTGGTTTAGTTTCTAACACTGACAATAGATGTTGGGGCTGTTCCTTTGTTTCTTAAACCATATTAATCCATTAACCTTAATCTTTATCCACCATTCCAAGAACGTCCAGAAATCTTCGGTGGGCCAAAGAACCTTAAACCTCAAACACAGAATTATGCATTTTCTGCTGATTTCTTAACCAAATTGGCTGGTTCCATATGTTTTTTGTGTTGTAAGGCAATTGACAATTGACGGAGAAAAGACATGACAACATAGCAAGGCGTGTTTGTTTAAATTTTCCTCATGGTGGTGTTTTTGTGCAAATTGTAAAATATGTTTTGTTATTACCATAGTACTTCAAGGTTACATTGTCAACACAATGTTAGACACGTTGTTGTATGCACAGAAAGCTTATGTAAGCTTAACCCATCCTGGCACAGACGCCAGAGCTCATTTTAGCAACAACCACCGTGGTACAGACACCAGATTTATCGTTAGCTACAACAGTCCTGGTGAATAAACAAGAGTTGTTAACTACAGGAGCCCCGGTCTAGACACCAGAGCTAATGTTAACTTCAACATTCTTGGTACAGTCAAATGAGCTAATGTTAGCTATGACAGTCATGGTACAGACACCAGAGCTTACATTAACTACAATAGTCCTGGTACAGACAAACAGTTTAAGCATCCTTCAGTAGACCAGACCATGAGTTTCAGACCCCAACTTTTTTTTTTCAGATGCTGACTATAATGATTCCGTCTTCAATCATATTAATTTTAATTGGACATCTTCACTTGTGTCAAATGTTTCTCTTTTAATAAAATGTCAAATGCGATACTTTCTATATACGTATTTACCATTTACGAACCTCCCCACACTGTTATCAACAGTCGAACAACTAACACCAACATCTTTACACTAAAACAAATTTGCTTCAAAACAACAAAACAGGATGGGTTAAAACGGGATGTCATTAAGTCACAGCCTAAGTGGAGTCTCTGGAAAATGACTGAGTCACAGCAGATACTGCGGAATTTCCAATCACACCACATCAGTGACAAAATAATTCACTCCACTCTCATCTAACTTTGTTTTTTCCATTGTGAAGTCATGTAGAACTTCCTGTTCGTCCAGGTTGTGTAATATTTTTGTACTTACATACCTCAACGACCAAAATACAGTTGGAAGTGTGTACATGTCGGTGTACTTCACCTTATGTCTGTGCTGCTTTAGGGACTTTAGACACACAAGACTGTGTGCACACCGTCAGCCACATGTTCCCAAAATCAGTCGATTGGTACACGTCACAGTGACGTAAAGTGAAACACATGGATTGTCTGATTGTAGTGTAAATTATCCAGACAACAACGTGGAACCACGTTTTTTTTTTTATTATTTAGTTTTATTGGCTCTAGTCTAGGCCTTAATTTTAAATAAATTGAAGGAAAAAAAACCTACATCAGGCTATGACTAAGTAAAAATATAAGAACATTAATGTAAAGAACAGCAAAATATGTTGTTATATATTTTTAATCCCACCACCCAACATGTATTTCTGGCTATTTCTTAAAAGATCATGACGTTATTCAACATTAAAACAAAAGATGAAAAAAAATGATCACTGATACGAAACTTTGACACAATGATTTAAAAGAAAATCACTTAAATACTGATTAAAACTAATTTGGGATTTAAAAGAAAACTACTTAAATACTGATTAAAACTAATTTGGTTGCACCAAAATATAAGTAAATAATGGAAACCATTTTTCCCAAATGAAAAAGACATTTCCTTCACAGGTGGATTGTTTTAAGGCATTGTTAAAAAGTTAGCCAAAAAGTTAATTGTTGCCCCCAGACAAAATTATGTAACTCTGAAAATCTAGTGTTTAAACGTCATCATTGAGATTCCTCTATTTCTATTTTTGGCAGGAATTTCCCTTGGCTGTGTCCCCTTCCTTTTTAAATCATGGGTTTATTGACCTATATCTGACATCAGACAACTTAAAAATATCTACCTAAATACCACCTGCAGGTTCTCAACATGCCTTTACGTTCACATATCACATGCATTGGCATTTGTCATTAAACCACACCCCTTGAAACTAAAATCAATGACTGCTAATGTAATCTGGATTATGTCCAACTGGTGCACTCTAACTTGGATGTTAATGTTCTGCTGGCAGGGATTCATTTAAGAGTTGACACCCAGTGAACGAATCAGCGAGAGAAACAATCAATTTTATCCTTTATTTTAAATCATTTTTATTTATTTATTTTTGTTTATATTTACCCTATATTTCAAATGATTTGATTCTAAAATATTTTTCTTGTTTTGGTTGATCACAATTGATTTCACTGGTAATCCTAATAAAGTGCCAATAGAATTCACAGTATGTTTAATCATTTCCCCTATCAATGCTTCTAACATTTGCTCGTGATAGCGGACGAAACACTCGATGACCCCAAGGTTCACTACTGAAGAGGTGTCTTACAATAAGATAGTCAATTTATAAACTTGTATATATATTTAATATTTTATAACAACCAGCTAATCAGGAAATGCCATAGTCTAGTAAGACACCCCATTCCACCCCTTCTCTTACCCTGAAGGTAAGGATAAGGATGACCACCAATAATTCCCCTGACACAGCCCTAACCCCCAGCCCGTGATCATACCAAGGAAATCGCCCTTGAGGTAAGTTGGCCCCACTGGTGACACTCAGGCACTAGTGGGGCCCAGGGAGGTGTTCAGATGAGCATGCCGTCAGGCAGCAATGCCCAGCACACAGACTGTATTTTTATATGCTTCATGTTTAAAAGTAGCTGCTGTCAATATTTCAATGTATTTGCATTTCATTCCAGATGAATGTTTGTTGTTTTTGATGTATGCAGTATTATTATGAGGAGTATTTGTTAGAAAACTAGAGTATTTAGAGCAGGTAAAGTCACCGCTTCCTAACTGCAAACATTTGCTCATTAAAAGAGTGATTCATTTGAACAAAGAGACTCATCTGTTCCCAGTTATTATTTAATTATGAAAACATGTCATCAAGCACAACCCGCTTGAGAAAAGCTGGTGATTAAACTCCTGGAAATCTGCCAACAGGGGGCATTACTTTAAACATCAAGAAGATTTTCTGGTCTGAGTTGACCAGTTAGACTTGATCTTTTATTTTCTACAATTTTACCTTTTTGAGATTCTTAGGGAGCTGGGGCCACTACCAACAGTCAAGGAAGGGTGGAGGAGATGTGGGGTGAGGAGTAAGGACACATACCTGTGTACAAGGCAACAATAAGGCTCCAGATTCCGGAGCTACAGCACCGATTCTGCCTTGTATTTAGACGAAGACTGGCAGACTCATGTTCGTCATAGTTTCAGAAACATTAACATGTAAACTGCAGTTACTTTTGCAGCAGTGAAGGCAGAGGGACCTTAGTAAACGCGTAAGGTAGTGTGTGTGTGTGTGTGTGTGTTTTCTTTGGTGGTTAAAAGACAATGTCTAAAACTCGTGTTAACTGTCAGTGTCTGATGACCTATATTCTCTGTCATCACTTTGGCCTGAAAGGCAGTAATGATACAATATTACGTCGCCTGCTTCTTCTGGTAAAGCACAAAAGTTATGAGGAAGACGCTGTATAAAAAGGGTAAGGTTGTTGGCACTCTACTCACCCTTAATTGCACGTGAAAGCAGACAGCTGTGCACTAAGAAAACACACGTGTGACAAGGCCACACCCACACTGTGATGCGGCAAAGAGCGTATAAATGACAGGAGCTTCGAGGAGTAAGTCAGACTCCTGAGAGGAAAGCAATCCACTCAACCTGCAACAATCAAGATGTCAACTCTGACTCTCCCTGCTCTCTTGTTGATGCTCTCCCTCTTTGGTAAGGATGTCATTACATTTTGATTTTTGACTTGAAGGGTTGTCTGATTGATGCCATGACCTTAACAAGGATGTTGTCTTTTTGCAGGGGGAAAAACAACTGTGGCTTTCAACCAGGTGAAAGGCATGTTATACAAAAAGTGTGATGAAACACAAGTGATCTCCATGGTTGAGAGGTGAGCTCACACTCTCAGTGATTCTATACAGTAAATCAGCGTTCGAACATGAATGTTAGGGGAAAATGTAGACATTTGAATATTTGAGTGATAAAAGACGGAACTAACAAAATTCTAATAAAACAACATTGGGAACAATGAACAAATGTTCATGCTGTGATAAAAATACAATTGAATGTCAGGTCAGGTATAAAACTGCCTATGAGATTTTTTTTCCTAACTCAATGGCAAAAAACGGTTTGCACCTGAACTGTGATTGCAGCTAAATGGAGCATTTACTAGTGATTTTAAATAAAACTGAAAAAAGTGAGTCTCACTGAGCAGATCACTGTACTTCAGGGTGAGTTTTTCCTGACAGTCAGGTTTGTGAATTACTTTAATGCATGTGCACGGAAAGCTTGGAGGTGTGACTGAACAGCTGACATCAAACTATTTAATAATAATAATGATTAATATAATTATCATTACAACAATAATAATATATAATATACATGTTTATAAACATATGAAGTAGGGGGGAGAGAGAGAGAGGGGGAAAAAAGTTGGGTGGGAGGAGAAGATCTAAGACGAGTTCATGACATTTATAACAAAAATGCACTATGATCGGCATATTGTTACACAAAAAGTGCACCTTTTAATTATATCTTTTAAGATGAGAAAATCTTTTGATATGATTAAGGGTAACCGACACTACAGTAAAAAACCTGTTTTTGTTCTTTTTTTCCTTCTAGTAAATATGACGCGAGTTTCAAAGACCGTCAGTGGAATACTGCCTGCAAAAACCTTAAACAGTTGTCAGAGTGTTCGTGGTCCCCGCTTTTTTTTCTCACTAGTGGTGAGATCAAATTCAACTGTCCAGCCAATCAAGTGATCAACGCTATTTACAGTGGCTACGACCATGAAACTAAGGAAAGAAAGTAAGTAGGTCTCAACAAAGATGAGATTTATTTCTTTTTTAATGACTAATTGTCACTCAAGTCATTGTTTGCAATATCTGAACATGAGGGATGAACATTTTGACTCAAGCTACATTATTCCCTTATCTGTCTGAAGTTGGAGTTTTCGTTGCTGCGGGGCTTCCAACCTGGTCACCTTTGAGTGCAGTGAAACCCCAATGATTAACTTCTTCAAAGAAAATTTTATCTGGCCTGTACCTGGAGACAATTACCTCACAGGCGTCACCACATACTTCAGCAATGGCGATGGGTAGGTTAACAGCCCTAAACGCTCTCTATTCTACTGCTAAATGTTGGCAACAACGCAAAGCATTCACTGTGACTCTTTGATTTTACTTCACAGAGATCATCGTTGGGGATTCAGCTACTGCAGAGGGATAGACCTAGGTAAGAACTTTCACAAACCAAGTCGGACACCTTCTAACCTAGAACAAATGTAGAGCACTCACTCTCCAAAAACTGTGTTATTTAGCTTACATAGACACAGACACAGGTTAGATCTTTGTTATCTGAGGTATGCTAAGAGATTCTGACTACTTATCAGCCACAGACAAGCAATAAAGTCACGCTACTTTACGATGTTTGAGGTCAGCCGTAGTCATGTATCAGAACCTCATATAATTATATCAACAAATTATTGCTCTGTGTTTTTAGATGGAGTTACCATCAATTCAAAGATCATCTCATCAAACAGTCCAATTTCGCACTACATGGAAGAAGGAGATGTCATGAAGTCAACAAAAAGGAATGCCAATGTCTGTTCAAATTGTAAATGGCCAAAGATAAATGGGCTGGTCAATGTTCCATACAAGTTAACTGAGGACTTCAGCAGTGATGAGAAACAGCAAATCCAAAATTCCATGAGCAGCTTCCACCTGAACACCTGCGTTCGCTTTGTTCCTCAAAGTACCCAGAGCAGCTGGGTCAATATTGTGAAAAATTCTGGATGTTGGTCTTGGATCGGTCGGACTGGTGGGAGACAAGATCTATCTCTGGGTTCAGGCTGTGTGACCCACGGCATCATTCAACATGAATTAATCCATGCCCTTGGGTTCTGGCATGAGCAGAGTCGGACTGACAGAGACCTCTATGTCAGGATCCACCTGGAAAACGTCTTGGATGGTTATCAGCGTAACTTTGACCTCCATGAGACAAACAACCTCAACGTTCCCTACGATTACTCCTCCATCATGCATTATGGGTCACTGGACTTCTCAAGGAACAACCGCTTCACCATCACACCCATCCAGACCTCTGCCACCATTGGGCAGAGGGTTCAAATGACGGAAAATGACATCCTGAAGATCAACAAGCTCTATGACTGTGGTGAGGACAACATTAAAGAGTTTTGATCTTTGGTAAAAGTTGTGTGAATTTAAATGGATAGTTAAATGGACATGTTTCCTTTTACAGACAGTTACCTGCATAAAGACGGCGAGTGGGACAACAAGTTAGGAGAACCTTTCACTACCAAGTGTCCCAGGGGACAAGCTATATCCCACATCACAAGGTAGAACACAACAAACACTGACCATTTTTACACAGGTCAACTAGGATAATATGTTACAAGATGAGTTATTATTTTTATCAATCTTTATCTATCCATCCATCCATCCATCCATCCATCCATCTATCTACTTTCCCAAAAGCTAGACAGAAGTTGAATTAGTCCAGTAGTATTTTAAAAACAATTATTGTGTTGATTGAAACATTGGTGTTTGAATGTAAATCATTTTTTTCGTTTTCTTCTGCAGTTCCTACAACAGCCAGTGGAAAGATCGAAACTGGGCCTTTAAATGTAAGGGTTTTGAAGAAACCTGGCAGTGCTACTGGAGCCAGTATGTGAACAATTATGCGACAGGTTTTGACTTTCAATGTGGAGTAGGCAGCGCCATCGCTGGTATCCACAGTGTCTTCAACTCTGAAATGAGTGACAGGAGGTGAGTGACTATTATGTTGACCTTTAACGATAGTAATCCCTGCCGCTTTCATTGTAGCATTCAAGTGTACCAAATTTTCCACACTCCTGGGATACACAGGATAAATTATCAAGTAAAGCTGATAATACCAGAAATCTGGCACTTGTGGTTCTCGATTATTCCTTAGCTATTAAGCTAACACAGATTAAGCTTTTACTTAGTTTAATATGCTAAATGTCTCATGTTAGTGACATGACTGCAAGAGCAATTTTAATTGGTGTTGTTGTGTATTTTTTCAAGGTGGAAGTTTTATTGCTGCAAACCTTCCTTCTCACTTATCGAGCACCAAGTCACACCCTTTTTTAACTACTGGCACGAGTATTTCAGCTGGAAAGTTGCCGGAAAAAACTTCATCACTGGAGTGAAGAGTATTTATGACACACAGGAAGGGTAAGTTGTGCTTTTTTTAATAGCCCCATGTACCTTTGCAGTTTATGGAGTTTTTTGGGGAGATTATAATTTTTTGGAAAGGTGGATTAAATTTATAATCTTTTTCTTTTCCGACAGTGATCATCGCTGGAGTTTCAAGTACAGTCAGAGGGGGAGTTAAAGAAGATCTCTGTCCAGCTGTCAGGATACTTCACAATTACCTCTTTCGAAGCATACACTACGTTAAAAAGCATAAAGAGAGGAGTAATGAATGGAAAGTAGCAAGGTATAAATGTGAAATTATGTACTGAAGCCCAACGTTGCAGACTCAAAGGTAACAAGTACTAATAGCCTGAAATGCAATAATCCTGAATGTTACCTTGAATTCATCATGATGATGAGCTGTGGCCCCCAGTGAAATTTAAAATAATGTGATTGTTTTGTTCGTAAAACTTTGTTTTACAGTGTAAATATCTTATCTACATTAGATAATATCCTCAAAGTATTTTAGCTTTGATGTCTCCACAGAGTACAGGATGTGAATGATGACATTTGCATGTGACATTTGCATGTGTCTGTAAATCAGTTCTGGATACTTGTTGAAATGTACAGAAATGTTTGTACAATCTCTATAAATTGTAAATGTATGTAAAGAACTTTTTATCTGAAAATCATAACATTCTGTCTGAACTAAATAAATGTCTTTATTGAAAAACATAAGTCAGATTTTGTTTAACTCCTTAATTTGATTTTAATGGTTTTAATAAGAAGAATTCAGGACTACACAAGAGCAAGTTTTTCAAAGGACAAACGGCATCTTTTTTCTTAGGGAAAAAGACCAAGAGTGGGAGTTTAGGAAACAAAACAAAAGAAACAAGACTCAAACTAGGACAAAGATGGGGCCAATACAAAGATTTTAAAGAACTAAAAACAACAGGTTATGCTACCAATAACTCCAAATTTGGTTTTATGTAGGAAATCCAAATGTCTATGTATATATAAATACGTAGTTAACATTAAAATACAACGTAGTTCAGCTGACTCAGACACAAAGCACATGACCTATACTGTATATAGAGTACGCCTGCCCTCTCCTGGACATTTATCGTTACAACACGTATATAATCTACTAATTTGAACAGCAAATTTACAATGCGATATTCAATAAAACAAGTAGATTTTCATAATAATAAACGTCACCGTTTTACCATGTTATTTATCTGGTACGAAAACATTTATAGTTTTTAAATGTCTAGTGTTTTGTATTTTTACTGATCCTATTTTTACCTTTTTATTACATTTTTCTATTTTTACGTTTGTATTGTCATTCTATTATGCCTCGGTGATAGTTTTTTAAAATTATTATTATTTTATTCTTTCTTTGTTCCATTCTGCCCTTTTTGATGCTGCAACAAAACAAGTGATTTTCCTCAGTGTGGAATATCTTTACCTTAGCAACAACAACGTGATATTTGTGGCCAAAATGTTTAATTTTTTAACAACCAAACACTAAATGACAAAAAGATGTACCCCCAAACATCAGCCGTGACACATTGTGCAAGATATACCAGCCTAAACAAGTTTGATAAAAACAAACAAACAAAAACAAACTTTGAATATAATCTGACAGAGACTAATAAGAATGTACGATTGCCCACATTTTATAATTTTACTTCACGAAAAAGAGATATTTTATATATATTTTATGCGTTTAGATACTCACATCTTCACCACTCTCTCCTGGATTGAGACTGACAGCATTAGGCCACAGTTCTGCGTTTTCTCATTTAAGGCGTCACCATGAATAAGGTAGCCAGCGCCAGTTAGAGCTTTAGAAGAAAACAGTAGTTCTACTCCATGATTTGTTTCACTCACCGCGCCAACAAGTTTGTTTTGCAACGGTCTTCCCCTGTCCATTGTCTGCACGTGCGCAGTAAGATGGAATAGTCCATGTTTGCCAGGTGGGGAGAAGCCGAGATGATAAACAGTGGTGAAAGCATTTAAATGCTGTCTTAGCGCACAAATAAAGAGAAACCACGTTTAAAGACTTAAAATCAGAATTTTAATTTTTTTACATGTATAATTGTATATTTTATGAGGTTTTTGAGATACCCATAACAATTGCCCGTGCCTAATGGTAGCACCGTCCTAGTGTTTTTGCGTTTTTCCACATTAACCGAAGTGACAGACTTCCATCTCTTAGTGACGGAGGTGAGGACCGAAAATGCTCGCTTATCTGTCAGTATTTATCCATATATATGTTTTGACGCTGACGTCAAGTTGTTCTTTTTTTTACAGTATAGGTAGTGTTAGCACTAGAAAGAAAAAATAAGTAGTGTTAGCACTTGAGTGTTCGCTAGCCTCCGTATTGTTAGCTTCTTTAGCTAATGTATTAGTTGTGGGATCATGTTTATACAAACAGACGACACGGCTTAATGTTCAAACAACGATCTGTTAGTCTGATTAAAAGAAACAAACGGAAGTCGTTGTCTACGACTTCCGGTGTGTTGCTGTCCGTGGTTTTTGTGAATAAATACAAACTATTGGAATTGCAATAGCACTACAAAATTTACGTTAGCAAAATCAATAATACTATACTATAATATAATATACTATAATATACTATACTACAAATACAGCGAAACGAATAGACATTTAATAGCATGGAGTTAGCTCAAAATAACAACAATTGAAAACGCCTAACCAGAACATATCCTTTAGTGATGCATAACTTTTTTTTTTTTTTTTTTGAGGTGGCAAAATTTAAAGGCAAAATAGTCTAGAAGAATCTAAACTGTAAAATAAATAAAAACTTCACAGTTAGCATACGTTGTCAAAATCATAACCAAGATGGTGAATACTGACTTACAGTCAAGACCAAAGTTAAAATGAAATGTAATAATAATAATCATTAACACAAAAAGGAATTCCATTCAGTAGGAAAAATATATATATTTCGCTAAAATAATACAAAGTTCAGACAAACAATGGTAATGTGAGAAATTGCAGCCCTAATATACCTTTTAAAATAAAACTTACAGAGAATTACAGTAATATAGCAGAACACCCAAAACTGCTCAAATTAAGCCCAAAGTCATCTTAGAGTTGGTACAAGAAGATGTAAAAGTTAGCCATTCCGATTAATTATTTAAAAGATTACTAAAGACAGACTTACAGTTTATTAACCATAGCACACAGTTTGCAAACATTAAAGAAGTAAGTGAAAAAACAATGATAAATTAAATCAAATGTAAAAGTTAGCATAAAATGCCTGATGTGATAAGAAAATGAGAGTTTGAATGAGTACAAATCCTAACACATTTGACAAAATATTAGAAAACGTTTTGTTGGACTGTTCTGCTACTTGAACAAGTCAAATCCTAATGTGTCTCCAGGAGATGAGTGGGGGCACCGCTGAGCGGAAGATGGTGACCTGCACTGTCAAACCTGCAATCCACCTACAGATCGGAGAAGCTAAATCTGACACAGCTCAGTCTGGGGTTTCTGTGGTTGATGTGATGCTGCCTTTTGGAAAAACCATCAATGTAAGCAAGGACTTTACTGATCTTCATTGCGCCCCCTGCTGCTAAATTTGATGGTCGATGTAGAGTATATGATCAAAATAATCCACTGATGAGCAGAAGAAAAAATCTTTCCACTAAATGTCTCGTAACACAAAATATATCAGTATTCTTTTTATATTTATTACTGTATGTTTAAAAAAACCCACTGAATTCCCAAGACCTAGTGGAGGAAGTAATGGCTCAACACCTCCTGTGTGATGTGTAAAAACCCTGGTTTTACACATGAGCTTTGGTGTGAATGATGAGAAAATTATCTTCTCTGTATTTTAGATCCAGGAAATCACTTTTAAGAACTACTACACTGCCTCTGTGACGGTGCGCTTACTGAGGAAGAAACCTGGTCATGAAGCCATGGCCAAGTGGTGCACGGCCCTGAGAAATCTGGTCCTCATGGAGAATCCGCACACGGAGGTGGGGTCACAGGACTACTGCTCCATCAGTAGGTCAAAGGTAGTCTTTCACAGCACTGTGGCCACCGGTCATCAACAGTTCTCAGTCTGATTCTTCCGCTGTAAACGGTAAACAGCATTCATTTTCTTCAAGGCTGATGTTTTTAATTTCTCCTTCTGATTGTTTGACACAGATGGAAGTGGACCCAGATCACGTGACCTGTGTGCGCCTGATTCTAAGGCAGCCGTCGTCAAACTGGCTGACCTTCAGCCTGGATGATGTTCAGTTGTACCCCCACACCGAGATGGTTTGTTTATGCTCATTTTGCATTTATTTATTCCATTAGAGGCTGAATCTACTCATATGAACAACAGGGAGTCCTCAAGTAATAACTTGTCATTTACATTCAAAGAACATTTGTATATTTTGAGGATTGTAAATTCATTAATTACAGACTACTTTTTTTTTTTATTCCTCTTTCAGGACCCAGAAAAGGAGGTTGCTGATTGGCTATCAGACCTGACACTGGTGGATCAACATCTTGACATAGAGGTGAACACTCTTTGATTTTAATTTCAGGATTTTCAAGGCTTTTTTATTTTGAAATATTCAATATACATTTTAAAACTAATTATACAATATTTACCCGTTGCTGATGGTTACTCAGACATTTGGTAACTATTACAGAAAGTTAAACAGTGCTGATTAACTAGCTGGAGACATGATGAAAAGTTGACCTTTGGCCTCTTTTTAGGGCCTTCCTGACCCTCAGATGGTGTCATCTAGTATTCAGCAGATGTGGGCTCTTACCCAGGTCATGCAGAGTGACCAGACCATGGCATCTATTGGAAGATTTGACGTGAGTGTAAAACAGAGTTATAACTTAGCTGTTGCTCAGGGCTGTTAGCCTGATCTACAAGGACAACTCTTTACAGTAGAGTCAACAGTGGCTGGTTCCCTGTATTGAGGGTTTGCATCCTTAAACAATACTAACAGTAGCTTCATGTTCATGTGGATATGTGTAGCGTTCTTCTAAGCAAGGCATATTTAGGCACATTTATGAATTTGTTTTGTTCTGACGTCAGTTTAGCTTCACATGTAGCCACAATCAACATTAAATTCTACAAAATGTTGCTTTGTATTTTTCCATAACAATTATAATCACATTTTATGTGTTGTTAAATGTTGTGTTGTTAAAAGATGCTAAAATTAAGCAACACCACTCTACTGGTAGCAATATATTTAAAGTGTCTGCTTTATCAGAATGCTACTAACTTTAGCTACACATTTAGCAACAATTAATGAATCCAAGAGCATTTTAGTTCTGTGGATATAATGCTATATTCTGGATAAAGTTTTCTAAGTTACAGATTGTGATGTTCAGTGTATTGTCTTTGGTGTTACACCACCCTGCCCCGGTGCCAGTTGGTTTTTGCAGGTGTTACATTTACATTTAACGTCATGTATGTGGTCACCTGACCTCCTCAAACGTACGATGTCACTTGTTTCTTTCTGTCCATAGGTGGACGGAAGCTACGACATTGATTTGATCTCTTTGACATGATGACAACAAACATGATGTTGGTTCAGTTTCACACTGAAGATCTGCTGTGATGTTACGTTTTGTGCTGCTATTTTACCCTTCATTTCACATGGATTTAATGTTAATAGTATTTAATTTTTTATTTATGTGTTATTATTAAACTATAAAATACATTAACATGACGATGTGGTTTAAAATGAATATTTTTCTTCACTACTTTAATCCTGGAAATTCTGTCTGCTCAAAAATAATTAAAATTTTCATCATTTCTATCTACATTTACCATTAGCATTGTAACTACAGTTAATCAAAATAAACATTCAAATGTCAGTGATTTTTTTAAGTAGAAAAATAAATGAAAAAAAATCAAAGAGTCATACATGACAAAATAAAACAAAATAATTAGAGTAATAAATGTCTCAAAATAAGCAACATCAAAACAACCCTTAACCAAAAGAAAAATCACATTCATAGCTCCCACAGGTGGTGTTGATGGATGGATGAAGTTGACATTTAGGCTCACGTGCTGCTGAGGCTCTCTGTTGTTCTAGAAGTATTTAAACTTTCCTCTGGTGTAACAGTTGAAAAAGAGCATGTCCTAGTTAACCCACTGCATAATTATTCTCTATAGAATAGCTGAAAGGAAATACATCAAATAAGAGGCCCAGAAAGAGCTGAAGGGACAGTTCAAATCTGAAGGCCTAAGTCGAGTGTCAGCTTCTTGCCTGGACCTGTGTCTCAGTGGGTGTTGTTCCAGAGAAATATTTCTTTTTCAAGCACAGACGCCAACCTCTTGTTGAAGGGCCTGTAAAAATACTTAAGGATTTCTCTAGTATCAGAAAGCATTGCACCCAAAGACTTATCTACTGAATTCCGAGTGTTTAACAGTCTGCTCCTCAGGCTCCTCTGGGAGAGGATCTGTAGAGGAACAAAGACAAATGTTTTTTTTAAGTGTAAAACCTAAAGTAAGTAAGTGATTCAAACCAGACACAGTATTAAAGGTATTCGACACACAAATATATAGTTTGATTATTTTCACTTACCCAAGCTAAGAAAATCAAAAGCTATTGTCATTGTCTCTTTCAGATTTGCTGAGTAGTCTTCAAGGTGCAGAATCATAATTTGTTCTCTACTGAAAACACTCATCCAGTCCAGTAAGAAGACCACATACACCTCCATGTGTACCCTGACCTGTGGGGGGATTAATTAATTTAATTTAATTAAATTAAAAATGCAGGTGAACATCTAAATAACTTTTCTACTGAGAAAGAAGGTAATCTGCACCTTAACACCAATGGTTCCTGGTACTAAAAGCTGTCGTCATTATGGAACTTTCTCAACGCTTTACGATTGATCAAACGTATTAGGATATTGTAATTTACCCATACCCATACCCACCCCCAAATCTTTGAATACATCTTATCATAAAAAAGGGCAAAATTTGAAATCAGCCAACTCAAAATATTTTGACCATATTTTCAGAACCAGGAAATATTTTGGCTGTCCCCAGAGGCAGAGCCTGGATCTTTTCAAAACACAGATATACATTTCCATAATGGACAGTTCAGGATTAAAGGATGATGTATTTTATATGTATGATATAACCACCACTGTGTCAAGGCTTAGTTGCCTAGATCTGAATGAAGACACATTTGAAGACATGAATGATGTAATCAATGAGCTAATAAATGACAACTCATAAAAACAGCATCTGTATGGATCATTAGAGTACTGTAGGAACTGTAATGTTTTACACTCACTGGAGATGAATGGTGTGTGTCTTCCTCCCGGTCCTGGTGCAGGTGTACAGTATAAGAAGATGTGTAGGTGTCAGAGCAGGAGGAATGACCCTTCCACTCTTTACAAGTTTGTTTACAAGAGTATGGCCCTCCCTCTCTTCTTTCAAGAAGCACCTAAAAACTTTTCTTTTCAACGTTGAAGAGTTCCGTTAGGCAACTGGACGTGACATTATTTTGTTGGCAGTTTTTAGAACCTGGAACTGCCTTTTTCTTCTTTAGTGCTGCTGTCTGGCTTTGGCGCACAGGCAGGTGGAGCACAGTTGACATCCCACATGTACGTGGCATATTGACAATCTTCTTCTTTTCTTCTTTTTCTTTCGACTTTGTCCCATTTATCATTACTCCTTTTATTTCTACCTTCACACACATCGACCTGGCTGACTCTCGTTTCACCTCCACCACATTTCTTACATATTCTTCCTTTAGGATCACCCCTACTCCATTTCTCTTCCCATCTGAACCATGATAAAACAGTTTGTAGCCTCCTCCAATGTTTCTAGCCTTGCTGCCCTTCCACCTGGTCTCCTGCACACACAGAACGTCTACTCTTCTTCTCTCCATCATAATGGCTAGTTCTCTACTTTTCCCTGTAATTGTACCTACATTCAGAGTTCCAAACTTCAGACTAACACTTCTATTCTTCCTTCCTTCCTTTTTAAAAAAAAATCGTCTATATGTTCAGAACAAGGACTTTTATTTTGCTATAATGTTTTGCTGGTTAATTGGTTAATTGGGGTGTGGCGTGTTTACAGGCTTTGACAGGAGTTCGTCCTTAACTGTTCCACTCCCACTCCATTGCACACAGACAGAGCTATCTGTAAATGTCTTTGTTATCAGACCTCTACAAGTCAGAGAAAACTAACAAGTTATCAACAACTTTTTTACTGGACATTGGAAGAAGACGCTAAACACATCTCCTGTGAGTATCATTTTATTGATTCTACACTTATTAGTTACATTCAGAGGAGCGGTAATGGAGATTGGATCACTTGACAGCAGATCATTAGCCATTTTTTTGCTGTTGGTTTTTTTTTATGTTTAAAAAAAGTTCTATACAGTTTACCTCTAAGACATACATGTCAAACTCAAGGCCCAGGGGCCAAATGTGGCGCACCAAGGCTTTTTTCTGTTTGTTATTTAGTAAAGTCCATGCAGCAGAGTTTCTTAACCTAAATAATTAAAAGTTTTTATAATCCATCCATCCATCCATCCGTTTTCACCCGCTTATTTGCTTATCCGTTACCGGGTCGTGGGGGCAGCAGTCTCCACCCAAATCACATTGCACCGTACCAACCCCTTCCTCCAGGTGGTGAGTCCACAATAGCATCAAGCAAAACAAACATTTGAACACTGATGCAACTAACTGTCAATTGGTATTTATCTTTCCTTTTGTCAAACAACATGTCACGGAACACTCTAACATTTGGTCAAACACCTATTACAGCTGCTGAAGGTGATGGCCAAATATTGATTAAACATAAACAACACAAGTTGGTTTGTTTTTTAAACATGTGACCTACTTTTTATAAAACAAACCAGTTCAGGTTTCAAGCTGTGGCATCTGGAAGCAGCAGTGTGAAATGAACTTTGATTGACAATGAATGAGATCCAAGTGTCCAAAAATTATATAGATACAAGTCTAACGAACCAGAAATACAGCCAGAATACTGACTAATGACTAGTGATGCACTGAAATTAAAATTCTTGGCGAAACCAAAAACCGAATACGAGGAAACCAAGGCTGAAAACCAAAACACGGAAAGAAATGACTATGTTATTAGTACCATTGCATTTATGGCTATGACTGTGAACTAAACCTCAATGGATATGTATGTACAATTTCAGATATCCGACAAGGTTTTTGCTTGCGTCATAACTTTCTGTTTCGGCTGTGTTGTTTCGGTGATAAAAGTCTTTCACTTTTGGGCCTTGCGTCCTCTGTCTTAGTGACTATTTCTGGGTGGGTTTTAAGAATCCTTTCACCATCTGGTAGCAATGAAACAAATATTTCTGTTTTTTAACATTTTTAACCTGATCTTTGCTCAGTTTGCTTGATTAGTCAATTCCAACTCAGTTGTTTCAGTTGTTTATTTTAGCTGTACTTCTACTATGACTGTGACTCACTTTTACACGTAATGTAAAAAACACAACTTTCCCATAATTTATTGGTTTGCCCTACGAGGCAATTTTCCCATGTGTGATTTGACTTTTGATAAATCTTTTGCTAAAAGTTGAGACATAGGCCACACTTATAAGAATGTGTTTGGTCTGCAGGTGGTGTTAAAGACGGCACAATCTCAAGAAAAACCGTGGATCATAGGACACACTTCACAGGTGAAGCTTTATTATTTTTCCACAAAGGCGGCTCTCCTTGATATCGGCAGAACATGTCAATATCAAATCCACAAAACGACAGCAACACCCAGAGGGAGCAGAACTTTCCAGGCTTCCCTGGGAATGATGACAAAAAGAGCAGACCTGTGTTCAGACTCACTAATGTCCCTGAAAGTATGGTTGTGAAGGGGGCTTCAGTGCTGTCACAGAGGATGCTGTGGAACATCCCTAAATTCAGATTGTTTAGGTTCCTTCTGTTCCTGACAGTGAGCTCCTTCTTTATAGTTTTATATGTTCTGTGGGGGTACAAGAAAGGACTAGTTTTCAACCCCACCTTCCATATACCCAGTCCTGCATCTGTCTCAGACAGGACACAGGACGCAGCAGCTGTAGTTTTCTGTGGAAACACTTCAGCAGAAATGAAATCACTGGACGAGATGATAAGCTCCAAGCTGGAATACACACCTAGAAAAGTGCCAAAGGACACGGAAGTGATCGCAATGGACCCACAAGTAAGTCTGAGTCAGTGGGACATTGTTAAAAACATTGTTAAAAACATTTCCAGCAATAACTGACTGAACACTACTGACTTACATTGCACTTATATATACATATATATATATACGTATTTACCGTATATATATAAATATGAAATCTACCTGCTGTTATTTGTCGTTCTGTTCCAGCAATATAGAGAAAAGGGGTTTCTATAATATTTATCTTGATTAATCATGATTCATTACAATTGTGGCCTTGTATATAGACTGTACATATATATATAAAAATATATGTGTGTGTATATATATATATAAATATATATATATATATATATATATATATATTTGCATATATACATGTCATTTATATATGACATGTCTGAGCCTGTTCCACGGGGACATATTACGGCATGTCTCTACGTTTCCAGAAGATTAAGCGCAGGTCAAAAGAAAGGGAGAAGTCGGTGACAGGCAGCAGGGTAGACACCCACGGGTTTGACAGCTACAGATCACCTCACCCATCGGCTTAAGCAAACTTAAAAAAAGTTCTAACCTGTTAGATGGAAAGTCGATCAGGGAACCAGTACCACCACATGGTCGGTGGTGTCGCGTGAAACCTGCCCGATTTAACAGTATGTATACATATATGTACATACATGTTTGTATACCTCCAAACCCTAGCCCTCACCTACCATGTTATAGAACATGGAGCAACATTCAGATTCATCAGACAACCACTGCACACACTTTACAGTTTAAAGAGAGCATACATTTTATAGACAAACCTGCATCTGCCAGTGCTTTCAGAGAAGCCTTACAGTCAATATCTCCATGTTAATCCAGTCCTAACTGCAGCCATTTGACCAGTGAAAAAAGATCTGACAACATTATCATTCTTCTTTTTCCACAGTTTGTCTCTAAATTTCCTCGAAAATACCTTTCTAAAATCAAGAGTCCGTGTTGGCATGTGCCGTTCACTGGGACACCCATCAATAATCAACACACCAGGAACCAGATGAAGTTGGACAAGGTTCCACTGCGGTGCCTGCCGTACTTTTATCTTGTTGGCCAACCAAAGTGTGGAACTACAGACTTGTTTCATAGATTGCGGAAGCATCCACAAATTAAGTACAACGCCGTGAAGGAGCCACACTGGTGGACCAGGATACGCTATGGTAAATGATAAGAGGATTACTACAATACATTTGTACATTTCTGTTTTTGTTGAGGAAAAAAAGTGATGATAAGATAACAGTTCATTTACAAGTAAACATGATTGAATAGAAAAAATAGCCTGCTAGCAGAGTGGGAAATATCTGTCTATAAAAATATATAAAGTAGTCTCAGGAGTGTTGACCCGAGGAGGAGTTACATCAACCCAGTTTGTTCCAAATCATAGGTTATTGTGGGAGAAAAAACATTTGTTTTTAACAAAAATACAGAAAGGAAAATAAATGGGTCAGTTAATTGTGTGTTAAATGTCCCCCATCTCCAAGCTAATACATCTGTAGAACGTTACCTGAATCTATATCGCTCGGCTGCGAGGTACATCAGCAATGGACTCAAGGGTGGAACACAAGCAGACAAAAGTGCCCTGAAGATCCTTACAGGTCAGAGACTTTTGAGTTACTCAAAGTCTGGTTTTAGTTTTTGCCATTTATTGCATTTTTGGACTATTTAATAAGGTGTTACTAAGACTGTCATTGCAATAACAGTTGATGGCAGTGCGTCCACTCTGTGGGACAACAAGCATCTGTGGAATTACTACTACAAAGACAGGGGATATACAGAGCCTGAGATCCTGAACGTGGACTTCATCCACACCGTGAACCCTGGAGCAAAAATCCTGGTCATACTAAGAGATCCTGTGGAGAGGTACTGCAGAGACATCCATCTAACAACCGACTTGTTACCAATCCATCCATCCGTCCATCCATCCATTTGTCTATCTAATAACCCTCACCTCCACCCTTCCATCGTAGTTACACACAACTATAAAAGTAAACAGGCTACCCATATATTTTCTACTTGTCGCTGAAGAACGACAAGTAATGCCCCCCCCCTTCCCTCCCCCGGCCATTATCCTAGAACCCAGAACTGAGAAAGTTTGTTCAGGTTTCTGACTTGAGTTTGTTTTTTCTTTCAATCTGTTCCCAGGCTTTATTCTGAATACCTGTACTTCAGAAGAATCAATTCAGCAGAAGACTTCCATGACAAAGTCAAAGAAGCTGTACACGTGTTTACCTCCTGTCTGTCTCAGTGGTCACTTCGTCATTGTGTCTACAACATCAGTGTCCTTGAACAAATACATGTCAGTAACCGTTGGTTCTTGGGACCAGCTGTTGGATGTAGAGTGAGTGTGTCAGAGTCAAGAATTGGACTGTGGGCCCAGAATATTGACATGTCTTCTCCCCCCACAGATCAGGTTACATGTAGGGATGTATGTGGTCTTCTTACTGGACTGGATGAGTGTTTTCAGCAGAGATCAGATTATGATTCTGCAACTTGAAGACTACTCAGCAAATATGAAAGAGACAATGACAAAAGTTCTTCAATTTCTGGATGCTGGTTTGTAATCCCCCCCTCCACCCCCCCCAAGAAAATCATACAGAATAGAAACATTTATTCTACCTGGCCGTGAACTATGTGTCTGTGGTAAATAATCTGGTGATTCACCGGTTCTACAGAACCTCTCTCGGAGGAGCAAATGGCACATGTGTTGGAATTAAAAGTGTCAAACCCTCGCCGTTCGGCAGATAGGTCTGTGGGTCCAATGCTTCCTGAAACCAGAGAATTCCTGAGGGAATTTTATCAACCCTTCAACCGTAAACTGGCCAGTGTGCTGGAAAACAAGGCCTTCCTCTGGAATCACTGCTGATGAGACAGGAGACAAATAGAACTTCAGGCATACGGACTTAAACAGTTTCTGTTTCTAGGAGGATTATTATTGTTCAAGCATTTTAACTAACGTAGGTAATTTCTTTTCTTTGTTTTTCTTTGGGGGTGTTTAATCTGGTTTCTTGGTGACGTCTGTGAAGATTCTTATTTATCTAGGTCATGTTATCAAAAGAGTTTTGTTTTTAAGCAACTGGACTTTTTCTTTGAGCTTGAAAGATGTTTTGTTCCTCAACTGTGTAAGAGGGAACACTAGTAGGGTTCCATTACCCAGAAACTGATGAAAGCAACCAGACCACAACCCAACACTAAGGAAAAGAAGCAAAATGAGGCACATAATGGTGCCTTATGTGTCTGGTCCAGCTGAGAAACTATGAAGGATCTTCACCAAACAAAGCATTCCAGTATACTTTAAACCGCAACACACTCAGACAGAGGTTAGTCCAAAACCCCAAGGGAAAACCTCGACAATGTGGTTCATGAGGTGCAATGTAGTGAAGAGTGCTGAGATCTGGCCCAAAACAGGAGGGTGACCACATTAGGACAGGGCTCAGCAGTATATCTACATCTGACAGAAAGGGGGCACTCTATCAAGGACACAGAGGTGCATATTTTGGAGGAGGAGTACAGGTGGTTTGAGAGAGAAGTGAAGGAAGCCATCTATGCCCATCTGGAACGACCAACATTGAATAGACTTTACATTATTAATTATCTGCTACACACCATCCACAACCACAACAGTCTTCTCTAGACAGGTGTGAGCACAACGACTCTTCATACCTTGACTTCTGACTCCTTTGTCAGGTAGAGAATGCAGTGGTCTAGAGAAGTATACAGCTAGTGTTCCCTCTTACATCAACCAAACAACTAAACTCTATGAACTAAATCAAGAAATGTCAGTAACAGTTTGTTTGTGAGTGATTAGGGTTTATTTATTTGGGACCAGCTTCATGCGTCCTTTGTGTCAGTCAATATTTGCTTCCAACTTACCAGAATCTGAGTCAAATTAGGGGGGCAAGCACACGGACAGGTTCATTTCCAAATAAATTGAAAATAGCTAAAATCATACAACAAATATCATTCACAAACTGTAGACCTGTCTCATTGGTCCCACAATTCTCAAATTGTAGATACTAGAAGACCTGTTGAGCAACAAACTGGACACAGTTTTAGAAAAACAAAAAATTCTTGCTGAGAATCAGAATGGGTTTAGGTCAAAGTAGAAGCAGAAGAAATCACGAATGCCATAGACCACGGCAACACATTATTGGACTGTTTACTGGTTTAAAAAAGGGTTTCAACACAATCAACCACCAAATATTAATCAATAAACTGGCTTTAGGGGAACAGTGCATTTATTTATTTGGGACCAGCTTCATGTGTCCTTTGTGTCAATCAATATTTGCTTCCAACTTACCAGAATCTGAGTCAAAGGGGGTGAGGTGGGGGATAAATAAATAAACAACACAACAAGCACACCTCCTCATCCTTATACTTGATTGGTTCTTGGTTTTGTCCGTCTCTCTTTAAGAGACAACTGTTCTTGACTTGACTGCTCAGATCGAGTGTCTGTTGGTTGGGGAAAATCCATCAATTAGTAACTTGACAAAACTCATTTTAAACATGGGCTCTGAGGTATCCGTTAATACTTCCAGGACGCATCTGGACTGGTATGAATCCTCTCTACAGACGCCCTGTGTCCTACCGGATGTGAGCATTGATGAGACCATGGTGAAGTTTGCCAGCCTCACCTCAAACATGGAGCTCAGGCAATACTCCAACCAGTTGGTCCAGAGCGTACCAGACTACATTGACAGGCTGGGCTCACGTTTGGGTTCACTGAATTCTGTCCCGAACGCTGTCGGACTTGGTGCACTGGTGATTTATTTGTTTATGGACTTGATCTTCAAGAGCAACGAGAAAAAGTCCGAAGTTGACGAAATGTACACGATGTTCAGACGCGTGTTTGCTGAAGAGAAGGCCTCGTCTGTCCGTGACACCATGTCAGAGTACGTGGCTCGCCATGGAGCATACATCCACAATGACGTGCGTTTGCTGGAAGAACTGCAAAGATTAGAAACGCAGCTAAGCAACCATCTCACCATCCTCAAAAACTCCCTGCTGTATGACAACCAGATGAGTTCCCGCGGGTTCAAAATCTGGGCCAACGGAGCCGCCTTCCACCTACAGATGGTGATCCACCAGGCTCGACTGAAGAACCCTAGCGGTCAAGAATATTCAGACACTGTGAGAACAATTAACCTGATGATTGACAGGTATACGCAGAACTTAAATGTTTTAATGGAAAAATTCAAGGCCTACAGAATAAGTACAACTGAAATAGTACCTCACAAACACGCTTCTTTTGGGGAATATGGAGCAATGTTATACCAAGTAGGATGTGAAATAAGAAGTAAGGAGAATTACAACTGTCTTGCAATTCACCAAACGGGGATAAAAAATAATGATCCTTGTGGACGTGGCGATTTGGTTGAGGCTTATGTAAACCATATTTTCTCAAAGTACCCTCTGGTTTCAAGCTTAACAGGTAATTTTTCAGATATTAAGCAAAACCTTGATGCTTTGCTCAAACAACACGATGCATTTAATCCAGTAGACATTGACATCACCCCCAAAAAATAAAATTTTGACTTGCTCCCTGTAACAATAGTGTACAGAGAAATTCTTAAAATGAAGACAAACAATGATGAAAAACAATACATAAAAAACATTATGGAAGTATGCAGCCAAAAAGTTGTAATAAATAGGTGTCACAGAGAAATAGATCAATCCTGTCAAAAACAACCCACACTCTTGAAGTTTGTCTAAAAATCAAAGTGATCAAATGTCAAATTAAATATCTTGAAAATGATTATAATGCACAGAAAATGTTGAAGCAAAAAGGATGGTAGCCTTCACTATATCAAAGCAGTTACAAATTTGAGTATTAATAATACTTAAAAAATAAAATAAACGTAAGGCTAACAAAAGCAAAAGTTTAGCCCAAAGCAAAAAAAAAAAAAAAAATTTGATGATAACTGTCATTTATCTAAAATGAAACAAACATCAGTGCAAATAAGACTGTAAAACAAAGAAACAATGTCAATATTCTGTGTTGCTATTTATTAAGGGTGTGTACCATCCTGGTCTAAGGGAACCAGGGACAACATGCCTAATGAAAGCCAACATAAAAATTTTCCACAGAGAAAAGAAACAAAAATTAAAATTACAGCAACTTAAAGATGAACAAATTCTCAACATTTTACTTCTACTCTTTATCTCAAACAGCCTCAAAGTAAAGACTTCTATTTGTTTTCTCACTCTTTTCTCAGACATCACTGCTCCATGGCAGTGCCACAGTGTGGGTTAGAGAGGTGAGGAGGAAGCCCAGAACTTATTTGAATAAACCTTTTTAAACTGTACTATCGTACGCAGCCCCTAAAGGCACATGGGGGGAAAAAAGAAAAGAAACGTAACTCGTGCTCACGAGAAAGTATATCTAAGACATTTTGCCACACATACATACATACACGGTAATACATTAAAAAACAAAACAATCATGTACAGTACGTACGGTTGGGAAATCTAAGATACCGGCATGTCATGTGTGACATATGTACTGTATATATGGTGAGCATTTAATTAATGTAGGATACCTCAGTTGGACACAGGATGGAGAGGGACCGGTGTATTTCGTGATAACTTTCACATAATTACGTGATGTCTGTAAAGCACACTTGTTTGCTTTGTACATGAAATTGGCTCTATAAATACAATTGAAATTAATGAAATGAAAAGGTGTCCCTTTAGGGGTTCCGTACTTTAGGGGCTCCGTACTACGGTATACAATATAAGATTTATTTCCTTATTTTATATTCTGTCAACCTGTTTATCTATGACGTGTTAATATATATATATATAAATCAATTGATTAATTTTATAGACATTTTTAAGTCATGTTAGGAGATAGTAAACTTTGCTCGATTTTATTTCATCTTTATTGTTAACATCATTGTGGTGTCAAACCTAGGGCAATAAATTAATAACTTTTTACTTGTTTTGTATTTCTTAGTATCCTATCTTATGTTGACAATTTGGTGTTTGTGATGTTTCACCATGGTTTGTTTGTGAGCAAAGGTTCACTCCTGATTTGATCAAATGACAACTTTGACCAGGAAAAATAAACACAGCGGCCTTGGCATCAGATGCTTATCTAGGTTAAGTGAAGGTTCACTTTCTGCCAACATGAATAAAAAAGTTTAGTGTGACTTTTCTCCAAACAAGAACTGAGACAACATTATTATTATTATCCATCCATCCATCCATCCATTTTCATCCGCTTATCCGTTACCAGAACCTTCCTGCAGGTGGTGAGTCCACTGCAAGGTCCCAACCGCCCTAACAGGGATTCAATCTTGCCCAGGAGGTGAACCCTGGGGTTCCACACCAATAACAGAGACATTGCCTCTGAGCCAAAGCGCCACTATTATTATTATTATTAAATTAATGTGACAATAAGACATTTCAATTAAAAATAATTTAATGTAATCAACATTAAAGGTCCTTCAGTGAACACAGAGAATCAAATAAACACAGGTCCACTGTTAATATGAAAAAATGAATATTATTTCGTCTTTTTTTGTTTACAGATTTATGTTTATTTATAACATAACAAATCTGTTATTAAGCTGCTTCACATTAATTTAAACGATTTGACCGTGACAACCTCGTTTATTTGTTAAAAATCTTTAAATCCACATTATGTTTGTTTGAAAAAAAAAAAGACAAAATGAAAAAAGTCATTAACTTGATGTAAAAGCCGCGATGCTTGTTTAAACTGTAAGACAGGCAATTTATTTCTTTTTATCATTATTTCATTATTTTACTGACACTAAACTAAACACACTTTAACATGTGTCTTCTTTAGGCATTAGGCAGAACAAAGGCATCTTGTTGGTTAAGCAGAGACATGACATTGTTCTTCACATCCACAAAATAATCCCTCAAAGTTGAAACAGGTTTCCAGTGTGAGAAAACATGATTGACATAAGCTTCCACCACATCAGCTCGTCCACAGGGGTCCCTTTTACCCATATGGACAATATAACAACGATTATTCTCCTTATTTTTGATGTAACAGCCTTGCTGAACCATACAGCAAGCATAACCCTCACCTACATACACTTCGTAAGGAGTGATTGCAGCTGAACTTATTTTATATTCCTTATATTTGTTTAATAATCTATTTAGGTCCTGCAAGTACAAATCAATGAGAACGTTGATTGTTCTAACGGCATCCAAATAGTCTTGATCTGTCGGCTTCTTCAGTCGTGCCTGGTGGATCACCATCTGGATGTGGAAGGCAGCTCCATTCACCCAAATTTTTAACCCACGGGAACTCATCTGTCCATCAAGCAGCAGGGAGTTTTTGAGGACGGTGAGATGGTTGCTAATCTGAGATTCTAATCTGTTCAGTTCCTGTAGCAGGCTCGACTCATCGTGCATATAAATCCGATGTCGAGCCACATACTCTGACATAGTGTCACGGACAGACGAAGCTTTCTCTTCACCAAACACTCGATGGAACATGCTGTAGTTATCTTCGCTTTGTTCAGTTGTCTTGCCTGCTAGGATGATGTCGATGATGAGAGAAATAACGAAGGCACCAAGTCCAACAGCATTGGGGATAGAACTGATAGGGCCTAAAACCCCTCCCAAATTGATGGCATAGTCTGGTACTTTACCAAGAGCATCATCAGAGGCAGCATTGATCTGAGCGTTTGAGTCCAGACCAGAATATGTTAGCAAAGACGAATCAATGCCCACATCTGGTAGCACACATGGCAGTCGTAGTGATGTTTGATACCACCCAGTGGCAACCGCTGGAACATCTACATTTGACACTTCTTGGCCCATTTTCCCCTACACTGCAGTTTTAAAAAAGCTGATGGATCAACAAGCTCTGAAGACTCCAGAAAGCACGGTGAGGAAGAGACAGCTGCCTTTTAAAGGCAGTCGGAAAACTCTCTTAACCAACCAGTTCTCAAGATAGAAAGGCGTGCTTTCAGTTTATTTTGGAAAAGGACATATGCCCCTGGTACGAAAGTCCAGAAGACTGGCGCAAATATTAGCTTTAATAAAAGACTGATTAAACTGGTCTCGACAGGATTTTAGAAACTGCACCAATACAAGGACTTTCTCAGATCAGTAAACAATATAGTTTCAGTGACATAACTAGGACAAGGAAAAGGAGATCAGACAGTATTCTGCATCATCCCAGTTTTTCCTAGCAAAAAGTAGGAAGAATGTGAATTTTAAAATAATATGCATAGAAATAGAAAATCTCATTCAGACTAATTTGTGACAACACTGATAACTTTGGTAGTTTCCAAAAAAAGGGGAATTTTAGAACTAAATAAAATACAATTATAAACACAAAGCTTTATAATCCATAAATAGGACTCGTGTCTTTACTTAGTAATTTACTATTCATTGTCTTTAGCCATTTATTTAGCCATTTAGCTGTTTAATATTTTATATTAAACAGCTAAATGGCTAAATAAATGTGTTTGTGTTATCATGCATCATTTACTGCTGTGGACAAATAAGAGGCAACTCCAATTAAATCATAAATCAGCATTATTACATATTTTAAGAAAGGTTTCGCCAAAGGATGTTATTCATTCAACAAAATTGCTTTTACTAAGACTTTAGATGTTAACGCAATAAATGAAATATACAAATGAGACGATCTCACCTATGCCCTGCGTGATCCTGTCACTGAGCTTAACATGTGAACATTGCTGTAACTTGATTTCCAATACATTTCAATCACTCAATAAAATTTGTCATTTAGACAAAAAACTGTCTCGACTAATTCTTGCCAGGCCAACGTAAGCTGTAAAAATATTTTTAAAACATATATGTTAGTATTCACTCGTTTTTGTTAGCAGTCAGCATATGAGACCGTGCGTTTAAAAAAAACACCAAAGCCTGGAGAGGAAGTGACCTCAGCCTTTCTATGACAGATTTGCGTGGAGTGGGAATTTTAATATACAGTGATATCTATTTCTCGCTCTATCCAAAAAGGATTGTGTAGTAGACAGTGAATAAATGACTAGACGCATATATTTGATAGAAAACATCAATAGCATGTAGACGTTACTACATTAAAGTATATTCATATAATAGTATGTGCTTATCGCATACGTTTTGTATAATTTAAGCCGTGTTACACCACGCATGTATTACGTTGTGTTATAACAACAACAATAACATTAACAATAACTTCAGTAATAATGTGGTCCCTTTTACTGACAGCTGCCCTCAGTGGTAAGGTGTACGAGGATATTTGAATGCATCGTTATTTCCTGTTCCACTGATGTATCGCTTGTCCAAGTGAAAGGCACTTCAATGTATTTTAGCTTTAAGTGTTTACTCGTCTCTTACGCTTGTTTTTTCAGTCATCACAATGTAGTCTGTTTTTCAACAATGTTTGGTGAACATTCGGAAGCGACCCGGTGGCTTGGACGTTTAGCGGGATACGCTAGCGAGGTAATGTTAGCACGCAGGCTAACGCAGAGTTAGCATTCGGCTAAGTCATATTTGGATAATTGTGGTTATATTGTTTATTTGATTTTTCCACACTGACTGTGTGTTCGCACACACTAAACATATGATCAGTAACCTGCTAACTCTCGTGCACAGTGATTGACTCTTAGCTCATGACGAAACTAACACTGTCAATCAACAAGTGGTCGTTTATTTATTTTTCTGTTCTGCGTAGGTGTTCTGTTGTCTGAGCAACACAGTCGTCTTTGCCGTTTATTTGTGCACATAATAGCGTAAATTATCTCAGCTGACGTTAATAAACTCTAAAATCCATCTAAAATTGTAAAGTACATGTCTGTATTTTCAATTGTTATGTAACGTCCACTGATAATCTACGCCCTCGCTACCGTTTTTTTCACTGTCCCATTTTCCCGGTGTAAACATGATCGCGACAGATTGCGAGTGTGTGTGTGTGTCCATCCCAGCAGCTCTGCATGAGTCACTCACAAACACGATAACATACATTGACAGCTCGGATGACGAGTCGTTCTATGTCTGTAATACAAAATATTTTCATTAAAATTCCATTACGTTGTCGCAAATCGCCATTAAATCAACTACCGGTTTTATTTTATGACAGAGAACATGTTTGATTAAAGTCTGAGCCACTTACATACAAACAACCCATCGTACCTCATACATTTGCCCCAAATAATTGATCAAAAATGTCGAATATGTATATATCAGAATGTCCAGTGTCGTTTGATTTAATCTAATCAGTTGCAACAGTAATGCATTTTTTGCAAGTATACAATAAAAAGTCAACAGATTGTATAGGTCAGTAAGTGATTTTGGCCACTGGCTTCTTGATCTTAAACGTTCCTCAAATCAAAACAGCAGGTGACGCTACAGATCGGCTTCATTTTAATTTGCCTTCTCAAGTGAGGACAGAGGCAGAATATTTGACATTTGTTGAGCATGGTGTTACGATTTGCGAGTAGTACAAGCTGTAGGATCTATATTTTTATTGTTTGTAATGTTTTAGCATCTTTTAAACTACTTATGTCCTTCTATGAGCCAAGTGAAACAGTTACATTATGACATGACACAACATTTATTTTGTGTCTGTTTGCTGCTGGTTACTGGCAGACATTTCAAGGTCAATCCTGCTTTAGAAGTCAAAGTACAAAGAAATGTGGCACAATTGTGCTACACAGTACAAAATATTTGCTATATTATATAGCAAATAATTACTACAATTTCAAGTAATTAAAGACAGTGAGTCCATGTTTTGATCTTTAATCTATCACTGTGTGCTATTAAAGCCCATGGCTACTTTGCTAACTAAAGAAATAAAAAACAACAACAACAGCTTCATTTTATGAATGAGGTGAATGAAATAAGATTGGTAACAGCAGCATACTTGGTCATCATAAATGTCCAGTTCCAATGTCGTCATGGCAAGAGCAGCTGTGCCTGAACTACCGAGCCTGAACATTTCCCCCTTCTCTGTCTCTGCTTTCCTTTAAGTGAGTGACATGGACAACTCTGTCACATTGTGGCAGTTCCTTCTGCAGTTACTACTAGACTCGAATAATGAGCAACTCATCTCCTGGACCAATGACGAAGGGGAGTTCAAGCTGCTGCAGGCTGAAGAGGTGGCCCGGCTGTGGGGTGCCCGGAAGAACAAACCTAACATGAACTACGACAAACTCAGCCGGGCCCTGCGATACTACTATGACAAGGTAAAGCACACAGCAGCGTTTCTCAAACTGTGGTTGGGTTTGGTTAAGTGTATTTTCCTGTTATTTATTTGGTGAAGCCAGTGGTTGATGCTAACACAGAAGGCTAAACTTTAAAGGAATAGAATGCAAAACGGAACCATCTCTTTGCGGTTAAACAGTTAGCTATGGTGTATGTATTTGTTATCGTGTCTATTGGCTGCTTTTGATTCATCAGTGGATTGTCTGACCACACAGCAGAAGAGGTGGTGCACAGAAACACGATAACCAGTTAATTAACAGCAGTTTAAATTACCGGTTCTCGAGGTTTATTAAGTGACCATGTTTTAACTGGAGAACCTTCTAGTGTGTGACCCTCCCCACCAGCCTTTGCATGACTCGATGAATAAAAGAATGAATCTCTCAACCTCACTGAGGTTGTATTGAAAAACAAGTCGCAAAACAGCAGTTGTTTGGGCGTGACATTTTCAGAGTGGTTAAAGTTCACAGCTCACATCACTCTCTGTCTCAGAAAGAGAGAGTGCTGTCTGTCCTTCCTTCTGTCTGTGGTTTGACAGAAGCGCTGCCTAACCCTGTGGGCGGTGTGGCCAGAGCTGTTGTGGTATGTTAGTGGCTGCTGGTTCTGCACAGACAGGGAGTAGGGATCCATCCCATTCTCAAGGCTTTTCAGTGGTCTCACTTTTCTATTTTTGACCTGCAGTGCCACTTCAGTGGACACACACACACACTGACTGAGGGAGAGCCTCTTTCATTTAGTCACTCTTGTCCCTGCGGTTGTTGAACTAACTGCCTCGACCTTTCTGTTTTTTTGCAGAACATCATAAAAAAAGTAAATGGTCAAAAATTTGTGTATCGCTTTGTGTCCTACCCCGACATCCTGAAAGGGGAGGCCGTCACACGGACAGAAGATGTGGGTGCTGGAGGCATTCCATCTCTAACAAGAAGAGACAGCACTTTACAGGAGGGGGAGTCAGGCGACAGAACCAGGCTGGGTGGAGGTACAGCAGCTCTGGGCTCCAGCACCAAACAGTCCAACCGTAATGACTACATCCACTCTGGTATGTACACCTCCTTCACACTCAACTCCCTGCAAAACAGGCGTCAGCTCTTCAAGTCCATCAAAATGGAGAACCCAGCAGAGAAGATGGCTGACAAACGTGGACTTGCTGATACGGCCCAGAACCAGCAGCTACAGCCCACTGCTCTGCCAACCGTCATCAAGTTTGGAATCACCCCACCAAAGCCAGCACCAGCACCTCCACACCAGGTCACCGTGGAGCCCAGTCTGCTCTCCAACCAAGCAGATTCTCTACAGGCCCCGCCCCTCAGGGTTGGGGACATCAGCACGCACTCCACGCAGCCATCCACTACCCACTCAGTGTATGCATTTGAAGTGATCCGTCCAACTGAATTCACCTTGTCAGACCTGACACCCACCAGTCCCTCACCCAGCCTGGTGCCTGACTCCTCCCAGGAGCTGGTGATTGACAGCGACATCGAGTCTGGATCATCCCAGCCAGCAGAGAGTCAAGCACAGGACAAGGCTAGTACACACCGCACAATCACACACCTTTATACGCACACACACACACACACACAGTTGGCTAAATGTTTCTAAATTTAAAAAACGTTTTTTTATATGGTTAAAAATACCAACAATCCCCTGAAGGAAACAGACAGTATGACACCATAGAGACGACCTCTGACCCTGCTACATTTGTCCTTTAAAAGCTGTGATTGTCTGAACAACATTAACAACAACATTATTAAGTAGAACGGTTTACAAGACGAAAATCACTACTTCGAAAATGTGTAAATGTATAATTTGTTTAAATGTTAACCTTACTAAATTCACTATTTCCTTTTTGGAACCAGTCTTTAGTCAAAGCAGATTACTGTTAAAATGACTGTCATTTTGTTCCTGGTCGTCAAGGATACAGGAAATCTTTAGTGCTCGTCTAATGCACTACGGCACATGTGAAACAAAGTGACAGGTGTTAAAATGATTGTTGTTGTTTTTCCTTCAACTCTGTACAGGTGGACAGCAGCCTGGGCCTCTCTGGAGACGAGACCAGCTTGGTGGACGCGGAGACCAGTTCGTCGTCAGTGAGCAGCTCCACCACAGTCAGCACTCAGAGCTCAGGAAAGACACGCAAGCTCCCCAAAATCCTGCAGATCAGCCCACCAGCCCTGTTGGTCACCGCCTCCGACTTCTCCCCCTCCAACCTGTGCAGCCCATCACTGCCCACGGCCTCACTCACACCAGCAATGTTGCAGGTCAGAACTTTTGTTTTTTTTCCTGACACCAACCATCGCAAAATTTAAAAATCCAAGTGGAAATAGAAAATAATTAAGAAACACTGTTTTAATCCATCACCTTAGTTAGCAGGCAACACTTCACTTCCACCACTGCTCCACTATATTGGTATCGGTTGATATTGGAATAGAAAATTAGGTGTTTGGACAATATCGGCATTTCTGATATCAGGTAAAAGTTCATATCAGACATCCCTAGTTAAAACTCTGTTCTTGACCGACCAGCAGGTGGCAGCACATTCAATGAGCCAGGCTTTCAGTATAGTTTAGGCTTGAAATTGTTTCTCAAAAACAACTTGAGACCTACAAATATTTCCTCATCAGAACATGTTTTGACAGATGCCACCAATACGTCTGTGTGATGATCAGTTCAGTAAGAAGTCATTTGAGGAGAGCAGATGAACCAGTAGAACTGAATCACGCACACATTCATATAACGACAGACAGCAGAGAACTCCTGACCAACTTCTCCAGCATTTGTCCTGGTTTCTATACACCTGCCTATGAACAAACAACAATATACTGTGTTAATTCCTCCTCAGACCCCCACCCTGTTGCTGACCCCCAGCCCACTACTGTCCAACATCCACTTCTGGAGCACGCTCAGTCCAGTGGCCCCCCTCAGCCCAGCTACACGGCGGCAGGGAGGCCATCTGTTCCAGTTCCCCTCTGTACTCACTCCTGGATTCCAGATTCCTGTACACAGTGCTGATGGGACCAACACACCTGGGCCTATTTCACCGGACCCTCAGAAGACGTAAAAGTCCATGTGGTGCATGGCAACACACACACACACACACACACACAGACTGACCCTGGTTCTTGCTTCCACCTCAGGACACTCATGTGGAAGCTCAGACATTTCCATTCCCCACCGTTCTGGTGCTTTACAGTATCCTGACATTTAAACTAACTGCAGAGATGATGTCACCATCGTCATCATGATGACATCACTTGTTTCATGTCATCATACACCCCAGGCATGCCTCACTGATGCCACTGTTCTGTTAGCACTAAGGGTTTGTTTTGGTTTTAACCCAGGCAGATCCTGAACAAAAAAAAAAATGGAGGAATTTCCATGGCAACGGTGTGTGTGTGCGTGTGTGAACGTGACCCTCAGCAGCTACAGTCGCCTTCACACCGATACACAAAACAGCTGTAGATATTTAAAGCTTTAGATGTTTTTGTTTTTTTTTAAATATATCTTTATATGGTGCAGTGTTCTGGACACATGGGCCGTCATCTTCAGTCTGGACAGTTCTCCTCCACTGACACTGACCCTGCTCCTCAGTCTGTGGACCCTGCTCCTCAGTCTGTGGACCCTAGGCTCTCAATACTTCTTTCAACGAGCATGTAACACCTGCCTTTGCTTGCTTTAAAAACCTTACGACCTACAGCCATGTGAAACGAACTTGGGGAACTTTGGGCTCTGGCCCTCTTTTACTGTTTTCTTCTGTGTACTTTTGTACATCAATGATAAACGTGCTCTGAAGGGCAGCGTGGGCATGTCTGCCTCCAGTCGCTAAGCTTTCAGGTGGAAATGAATGAAAGAGAGTGAAGCCATAACCCTTCTCCAGCGTCCACTCCACAGGTGGCCTCTCACTAATCATTTACGTCTTACTGCTGTTGAAGGGCAGCCAATGTGTTCACAGATGAAGTATTTATTTTTTTAAATAAGTGGAAATGTAAAATTTAAAAAAAAAGATGGAATTGTTCACGTTGAGCAGATTTTAGGAGCTTCAAAGACCAGGGTGATGCTGTTCGTATGTTTGCACAGGAAATCAAAGGGAGGTCTTGACAAGAACTGGATTAGAAGTCACGACATATAAAAATCTATTTCTAGCACAAATAGAAACAGACGGTGGAATTCTTTCCTCCTGCACCTCAGACACTGACATTTGTGTTTTAACACCGTCTTAAAGCCACCGGAGTTCCTACATGCCGGTGCTTTGACCCAACAAGAAGACTAACAAACTGTTATCTCAGTCCTGGACAGGTGTGTGTGTGTGTGATGAGATGTTACCTGCCTTATACCTGCAACAACATTCAGGATTAACACAGTGAAAATAGACTTTTCCTCGTTCATCACAGGAGGTTGGTTAAGAACGGTTGTCGTCAAATGTTAGAAATAGGGGAGGGGGGGGACCGAACCAAGTCGAACGTCAGAACTTTAATCTTCATTTACGCTTTCTTTGCTCGAGTCTTTGTTTTAGTCTGTGTTTACTGTGTCAGTGATTTGAAAAACCATAATCATGTCACCTTTGACCTGCGAGTGATCGAACAACTCTGACTTCAAGCACTTCGATCCTTTGGGGTTTTTAGCCATGAAAGAAGTCAACAAACATTGAAGCCATAATGAGACAAATAGCTACGAGTTTAAACTTAAACGATTCACATCGCACCTAATACAGGTGTGTGTGTGTGTGTGTGTGTCAGTCAACTGTCACTCTCTGACCCAGTACTGGTTGATTAAGAAATGATGTGGCAAAGGGGAACATTATGTTATTATCAACTTATCTGACAGAAGTGACCTTGACCCTGACTTTGACCATCACATACATACATACATACATACATACATAAATACATACATACATACTGTGCCTTATCACTGCCAAGTCACTCCAGCAGAATAGTTGGTGTCCCCCCACCCCAGCCCTCCAGGTTCATCCTACAGACATGTTCTCATACCATAGACCAGTGGTTCCCAACCCTAACATTTGACAACTCTCGCAGAAGGGGGGTCATTCCAAAAAAAAATCTTTTTTTAAGTTTTGTGTAAATATGAAGCGTTATTTTTTATTGTGTCAACATGTGGGAGAAATGGGTCCTATGTGCGATGGGTGGGTGGGCCACAGAAAATAATTGGGAACTACTACAACGGGCTAAATCAGGAGTGAGACCACGTACTGCAGCTCCTGTTTTTATTAGGCCGTACCCCTACGCCTCCCAAAAAAAAACTGTTCATCAATATTTGTTAGATATAAAGGAAGAAAGCTACTCTGATGATATCAATATCTGTACTGCTTTGTTTAATCCTGTATTTTCTGTAACTGATGTCAATTATTGTCTATTTTTCTACGACAGGGGAGACGGGTGGGCGGGGGGGGGATCTGCTGTTTTAATCATCTGCTTCATTTATCTTTGTCTCCAGGAGGGGGCTGTGCTATGCTTCTATTGTTTTTATTTTTAAGGAAATCAAAGCCTTAGGTGGGGGGATGTGAACCTATGTTTTTATACGTCTGTGTTTTGATATGGTGTTGATGTTGTACCTGCAGATGTTGTGATCAAACGTTTGCACTTAAGAAAAAAAAATGGGGGCAGTTGCTTTTCTATGACGTGTTTCCTCTGGTGACGCCTTTGTTGACATTTGCATACAGAGTAAAGTATATTTTCCCAAAGGGAGGAGACATTTATGCACTTGCTGTTTTGTACCAGGACAAAGAATTGAGTCTAATCTTCAGTGTCTGACGTTGAAGACATTACCACTCAATGGTTATTTATTTGATTGAACTTCAACTCCAATAGAATTGATTTGTTGTGGGGTTTTTGTTTTTTTTAATTTGTCAATTATTTCTAGCCCATCTCTCGATGAGGTATCATTTACATTGTTCACTATTTGTAACAACAAATACAAGATTGTTGTTTTTTGTTTTTAGAAAAAAGAAAAACTTAAATGACCCAACTCTGTATTTCTGTCCAGTTTTGTTTGATGTCTGATGCTTTTTAAAGTCATGTTTACAGGCTGCTTGTCTTAAGTGGCGTTCTGACAAAGGACGGCTGTAGAAGAAGAGTTCCAACAGGGAAACATCAGCGATGAGAATAAAAATTCTGAGAAACTGACACATGGTTTCGATTGGTTTTTAATCCTCCAGTTTAAACATTGTTTTGATGAGGGATTTAAAATAAAATAAAAAATCTCAGTGAAATTGTCTCTTCGTAGAGTTGGTCTTGTAGAACGTGGAGAATTTCTTTTTAAACTATATATGTGTGTACATATGTGAATATATAAATATGTATATATTATATATATGGGGTGGCCAACATGGTGCCCGGGGGCACCTTAGGTAGCCCCCATGTACTACCTAAGGTGCCCCCGGGGGTATGTTTTAAAAATAAAACTATTCAACAAAACTGTGCTTTTTCATTCAGTTACACCTGCAACGATGTATAAATGGATCCAATAACAATGGTAAGAAGAGTGTCTACTAATGTCTGTATTAAACAAGTAGCTCTTCGTATTACTGAGTACCCTTGAATGTAGCTCTTAGTTTCAAAAGGGTTGGAGACACGTGTATATATATATATATATATACACACATACAATAATATTGATGTTGAGGACAATGACTGGACTAAATGAAAAGTCTCCACAAGACCAATTCTACAGACACTTTCACTGAGACTATTGCTTTCACTTAGATTTGTTATATTTATACATATGTATGTATATATATATATACACAAATATGTATGTGTATATATATATACACACAAGAAGGAAACAAAATCAGATTTTAACCAGTACAGAATTTTTTAAATTTAATTGTTTATAGTTGACATATTTAAAGTGTCAAAAAAAGAATTCCCCGGACATCTCCTCCTCCTCAATGAGGTCACAAAACCTCCCATTCACTCACACCTAATGAGAATGGAGACATGGATTGACATTAGCAACCAATGAAATCATCAGTCGAGACTCTGACTGGACCAGACCACCACCAGGAAGCCACAGAATGCCCGCACACACTCTTCTACATACTATACACACACGCATAAATCATTTAGTAAAGAATAAAGTGCCATGTGAACGGACAGAAGTCCAAGTCAAACTGATATACAAAATATACAATATTATATTTTGTCACCAGGATTTTCCTTTAAGTCAACATCAATTCTTGTAGGTGCCGTAGGGTTCTGGAGGGAACTCACCTCTCCATGGACCCGATCTAACGGAAGGTTTGGTTTAGGACTCAGGTTTTCTAGTCGAACCAGGTCAGGTCAGAGTTCTTCAGCAGCTTGGTGGTTCATCCTGGGTCCACCTCTGAGCTGAGAGCGGTGCTGGTCACCACCATGTCCACGACCAGCTGGCTTTGTTCTCCAAAACATCACATCATGAACTCCAGTCTTCAACAGAATCTCCAATGTCATAAACCTTTGTTTTTTAATGAACTTCCTGTCGTCTTCTTCTTTGCTCAGTGACAGGACACTGTCTATTAGCAGCACGTGTGCATGTGAGTGTATCTGTGAGTGTGTGTGTGTGTGAGTGTGTGTGTGAGTGTGTGTGTGTGTTCCTCATCCACTTTGAAACCTTCCTACAGCTGAGTGTGTTTAACCTAACGACCATGTGGGTGACCATCGTTGTCCCGTTTGGTGCGACAGCTGAGGAGAACTCTCTGTAGAACATTCTACAACTGTGTCTACAGGAGCTGATGCTGCTTTGACGGTAAAGGTTTATAAAAAGTAAAGACAATAAAAACGTATAGTTAACGACCTTGTTTTACACCTGTGACGTGTGGCTCGTCAGAGAGAGCTGACTTGGTCTTTGGACATGACAAGATAGATATCTATAGGGTAGGGGATGGTTGGGGGGGGGTCAGTTTATTTGGGGAGCGTCCTCATGTCTTCTGGTCCTCGGAGTATGCTGTCGACGACTTCTCTTTAATCTTCATGTTTTCAGGTGAACCTGAGTGGAGAACAAATATCTTCAGACGACAAAGTGTTGGGCAGGTGTACACGCTAACCTTAGCATTACCCTGCTGTCACAACATACAAACCTGATCATGAGCCTCACAGTCCCCCCCCCCCCCCAGCTGCTGGACCTATGGTCCCAGGACAGAGGCTGGTGTCTGCTGGTATCAAACCCATTTTGTGTATATGTGTGTATACTGTATGTGTGTATATGTGTGTGTTAAGTGGTATAACCTCACCACCACTCACCTTCTGCTGTGTGTTTTCTGTGTCGGTGCTGGATGTAAAGCAGCAGCATGAAAAGGCAGAAGCCGATCAACGAGGCGATGGTGCACAACAACAGGAAGTTGTAGCTTCCCTGGCTCTGGATCAGCTGCAGTGATGGAAACACAGAAACGTCTGGAGGCAGAGACTCACACTTCATTCAAACCAACAGTCTCTGCAGAGGAATGTCCTGCTGCTGCTGCTGCTGTTGTTGTTTTTCTATCTAATCAAACATCAACAGACATATAATTTTGACTCGTTTACTCACCGATCCTACAAGCAGCTGCAGCAGCATCTCTCCTGTGCTGGCACTGGTCACCAGGACGGTTGTTGCACAACCTGGGATTAAAAATAACTAGAATAAATACGTGTTAGTCCTCAGTCTGATGATGTCATCTTCATAGGTGTTATATTCTCTACACACAGCAAATGTGTTGAATTCTGACATCGTCTGATGAAGTGTGTGTTTGCGTGTCTTTCTGGGGACATTAGGCCCAGATTAGAGTTTGGATAAAGATTAGACACAAATCTAGCGTGTGTGTGTGTGTGTGTATTGGGAGTTGACCTTTGTAGTCCAGTAAGTCCTCGGTGTAGGCCAGCATGGAGGGAAACACACCACTGATGAAGAGTCCTAACAGAAAGGTGCCGAAAAAGAGGAACACAGGACTTGTATAAAAAATCATCAGGAAACACTGGACCGCGACTATCCCCATCTGTGGGAGACACAGGGAGACACAGGGAGACACAGGGAGACACAGGGAGACACAGGGAGACACACAGGGAGACACACAGGGAGACACAGGGAGACACAGGGAGACACACAGGGAGACACACAGGGAGACACAGGGAGTTCCAAAGAGTTTAAAAAGGTTTTAAAGCACTGGATGTGAATATACTAGTGTGTGTGTGTGTGTATGTGTGTGTGTGTGTGTTCGTACCAGGGTGAAGATGAGCAGGACGGGTGCCGTGTATTTACAGGACAGACAAATGAAGACCAGTCTTCCTAAAGTGATGGCAGCCCAAAAGACGCTCTCCAAATACCCAGCAGTTCTGTGAGCCATGAGTAAAGGAGGAGAAACTGCGTAGGTGTAGACGAACCCAGAGTAGGAGCCCTGTGACAAACAGGTGAGGAGAGGGCAAAGGTCAAAAGTTCAGGTTTTCCTGTCAAAACCCGGGGCAGATGTCCAAGAGTTTCTGACCACCTCAACACATCACACTGTCCACCTTAGGACTCTTTTAAGAACCTCAGTCCTTTAACTTAGTTCAGTTCTTAGGCCATGGTGCCCCCTACAGTCAGGTCGTGGAACTGTTGCGTCCTGTAAAGAGCAGCTAAAGACCCTGTCTTAACATAATCTGCTCTTATGTTTATATTTTTACATTTTAATAAAAAACAAGAGGAACGAAGTCCAATCGGAGCTGAATTGGTCATGTGAGCTGGAGGAACAAATGAGCCAATCAGAGCTGTGGTTGATGTCTTTGATCAAATCTGTCTACAGCAGCTTCTTACTCCTGACTTCACAGAATGATATGGACAACAGAATAAAAGCAAGCACTTTTCTAAATATGGAGCCTGTACATTCACATGTCACAGGAGTAATCACATCAAACATAGTCCAGGTACACTGGCTAATGGACAGTGTGTGATTTTAACTTACAATGATCCCATCGGTGATGAACAGAATGGCTCCACCCAGCACATGCAGAACGAAGAATGTGGCGGGCTGACCCCTGAGTTTGTCAGGGCTACAGCAGCCAAACACACTGTGTTGTCCTGGAGGACCAAAGACGGAGAGACGTTTGACAGTTTTTATAGAAATGCACATTTCTACACTGTTCTGTGACAAGGATTATTATTATTATTATTATTATTATTATTATTATTAGGCTTTTGTCCTTCAGTACTTTGTCCTTAGGTACTCTTTCTGTTTTACTTGAGTAAAAGAGTAAATCAGTATGTATGTGCCACTTTTGTAGTACAGTACTTTGACCTAAACACAGAATGTCAGTACTTTGAAAACCTCTGTGTACTCACTCACACTCTCTCACACACACACACACCTTGGCCACTGTCTGTGTTGTTGCTTGTGCTGGCCAGTGAGTCTCTGTCAGTCTCCGTCAGACGTGGACTGTTCCTGCAGCAGGGCAGCAGTCTCTCATGGTACATCAGTACCAGTACTGCAGCTGGAACAGGCAGCTGAGAGAGAGAGAGAGAGAGAGAGAGAGGAACAGTCAACACTGCAGCTCAGTGACTTCTGGTTCAGATCTGCATTCCTTCACAAATGAAGCCGACATGAAATGAAGTCATCAGTGAATTGTAATTATTAGCAATTACCCAGAATTTAAAGAACTTCAGGCAAAACGTCAAAACAATTTGGACTCTGTCTGTACTGAATGTTGATAACGATGTTAGATAAAAAGGTCAGAGACAAAAGAAGACAACTGGACACAACTGGAGACAACAAGAGGAGACAGCAGTAGACTGAGTACTGTGAACCACCTCTGTACAGTACTATCTTCACTCTTAGGCAAATACACACCTGCATATCTCCCTGCCAACTTCCCAGCAGTCAGTGCCACTGTTTTATCTACACTACACTTTAATAGTGAAGCTAACATGCTAACATGCTAACATGGGTCTTCTGTCTTCTTGTCCAACTTACATTGATGAGAGCCATGATCCAGAAGGCGTAGGACACGTTGGTGTTTATCAGGCCTTCGGTGTGCAGAGGGTACATGGACATGTTGTGCAGTCCTGTGCTGTGTCCAGAGAGGGTGCTGCGCAGGTGCTCCATGTCAGAAGATGAAGCGTTACCCGTCCGGTTAGCCATCACTATGCAGTTATCGTCAGAGAGGAAAGGATCGGCCACCAGGGGGCTGACCAGTGCCCCCAGACCGATGAAGAAATGTAGGGTCTGTGATAAGACATGGACAGAGTGATGAGAGTGTGAGGGACAGATGAGGACTTTAACCATCACCGTACTCTTGAACTTAAAGTTTGAGTCAGACCTGCTCTGCAGCAGACAGCACCATGAGGCAAGTATATATATATATATATATATATATATATATATAAAGAAAACAATCAACCCCTCGGGAGCAGCATATATACTGTTTACAGGCTGCCCCCCACAGGCACCAAGCATGAACTGACCAAAGACTAAACAGATGAGTTAGATAATCAGTGTTATCTTACCCATGGGTATCACCTCTGAAGAAGGGAATTTAAACACAATACAATGATGTAGTTCTGCAGTACTACAAATGACAGTTGAATTAAAAACGTCAAATTCCTCAATGTACCACTAGAGGGACCCCATGTACAACCAGTGGTATGTGTACTATAGATGGGTAACTACCAAACTAATCTTTGTTTAGCGGACTATTGCTAAGTGTATTAGTTCCATCAAAAACATTATTGTGAGGAGGAAAAACATTTATGATACACAAGGTAATGAACACAGACAAATATATTAATGTAGCAGACTAACAGTACAGTTGTTTAAAAGGCACAATAACAGTGTTTGGTTGTCATGAGTATAGAGAGCGCCCTCTTGTGGCAAAATCTGACACGAGTTTTATTGTTTATATATAATGCACTTCAAAGATTAGTCCACAAATTCTAGTCCAGAAAATACAGTAATGAGTCAAAGAGGTGTTGTTCCAGTGAAGCCTCCACTGTCCTAGGTCAAAGTTTGATAACAGCACCAAACTAACCTAACCTAAACTTAGTCAAGTATAGTTTTGGCTGTGCTCTTCTAGTGTCCTAGTAGGAGATAATTTGTGCCTCAGAAATGTGGTTCAGTTGGAAGAGCCATAAAAGACATAAATCTCTATGATTAGCCAAGACTAGGTTTTTGAATATTATTAAACAAAATCATTGAAAATCTATAGTTATTCAGGAGCAGGTCTGGAGGATCCACTGATCTGGGTTCTGGTCTCACTGCACAGCTGTGTCTAAGACTGAGTCATGAAGGCAGTCTGACTGATCCTGGTTCTTAATATTGATCTTTTTGATTGTTAGTCAACAAAGTCACATAACAGGTTGGGTGGCATCTACGGGCTGGATGGTATCTTCCCTTCTCTTCTCACCTTGTCTCCTCTCCTCTTCTCTAATCTGCACTCCTCTGCTTCTCTCCTCTTCCCTCTTCTCCTTACTTGTCCTCTCCTCTCCTCTCCTCTCACCTTTCTTTCCGTTTCTGTTGAGTGTGAGTAGCGGTGGTGGCGAGGAGTTCGTGAAAGTTTGCTTTCACTGTGTTTCTCCCTGGGGTTCATGACCAGGTCAGACTCAGCAACATCAGTCCAGGGGTTTCACTGACCACCATTTGGTTATGGCAGGGATAATACGTACATCAGGGGAACGAGTTAGGACGCACAACATGGTTTGTTTATTTTCTGCCCCAAACACTGAGCAAATGAAGAAGGGGGAGGAAGAGGTGGGAGGCACACGTTGGTCCATTTTTTTTTTTATCTTGTTCTGTGAAGTCGGCCATCTGGTTGACTCACAGGAACTGTGTTGATGGTAATGGTAGAGTGCAGCTGGTGCCACTCCTGGAGGGACTTTAGAAGGCAGCTGAACGGCTGTCATCACAGCTAATGACGTGACTGCCCTTTGCTGGCTTTTTGTTTTCCTTCAAACATGCTGCACGTGTTTACAATGGACGTCTTAATGTCAGTCACATGACCACTGTTTAAAGGCTGTGAGGGTGTGTTAATGACTGTGTGGTTGGTGGTGCGGAGTGACCAACATCTGACACCTGCTCTTCACAGAGGACGCTTCTAGTTGTACTTCAACATGGGATGGAGTCATGGGATTTGAACCAGCAACCCTTCAACCACAAGCCCTATCCATCAGCCTGTGGAATCGTCGATTCAGGAGAATCATGTGGTCTGTCATTCATAACAGACAACCGCTACAGTTGTAAAGGTTTGTGGTGTTCTCAGATGAACTGACTTTTTTTACTTATCTACTTTCATTATGAGTAATATTATAATGAACCAGAACCAGTGTTAATAAACATTTAGACACGCTAATGTTCGTTGACATTAGGTGTGTCTGTGTGCAGCTGTGCAGCAGCTTATGTTCAAACCTGTCACTGATCCAGGTCACTTCAGTCTAACAAGGTCAGGAGCAGGAACCTAAATCAGCCCAATCATCAACTTCTGCTGGAGATCAACCAGCCCTCACCTACACAAAAGTACTGCAGTACTGTAGATCAACCAGCCCTCACCTACACAAAAGTACTGTAGTACTGTAGTACTGGAGATCAACCCAAAGAACCCAGAGACACTGTCTACGTCCTCCCTGTTCTCCTCTGACCTGCAGGAAGATGTTGGAGTCCTTCTGGAACAGCTTCACCAGCTGCAGGTTGGAGATGGTGTCAATGATCCCCATGGCAACGCCAATGACCGCCATGGCGATGGACAACAGCATCACGTCATGACACAGGGGTATGATGGTGAAGACGATGGAGATGGTGAGAGTGCAGGAGAAGAGAGCTGAGAGACACGACAGGAGCCTGGAGGACAGACAAGGACACAGCCAGAGTGACACACAACAACTGACGCACAACTGACCTGCAATAACTGACACCCAACAACTCACACACAACATCTAATACACAACAACTGACCCACAAAAACTGATGTAGGCTACAACAGCTTTTTTTGCGTTTGGTGTGAACACCCCGAATTTTTTTAAAACACTAAATAAAAAATATTTGGATTCAACAGCTGTCAGGTCATTGCTAATGTTTGACTTAGGCCTTGGGGTGCAGGTGCCATCATGACATCATCACGGATGGAGTTGAGCCAAAGGTCAGCACGGGTTTGGATTAAAGATCCAGGCTGAGTTAATGTCTGACTGTGTTTAACCACATTCATGAAGAGGATTAATATTAGGAGTGAAACAAACCACAACCTTGAACCTGACACAGCATCAAACAGGGCTTTTCAGTTCCAAACCCTAACCACATAGGCGTGTGTGTGTGTGTGTGTGTGTGTGTGTGTTTAGGCAAAACCTTATACTGTATAAGTACCTCTGTGAACTTTCACTTACATGTTCAGAGTCTACTTTAAAGTTTTTTAGATATCTCTCTTTAACCTGTCAGTAATATTAATTCCACAATGCTGTTATTTGAAAACATTTGTGACTCAGATGTTAAAACTGCCTGAGCAGCCCTGACCCCAACCCTAACTGGAAGGCGTCTGAACGGCTGTCACTAGATGAAGTGCATTCATGACTAAAACCAGAAATTCACATTTATTTATTTAGTTTTTTATGTGTTGAATAATAATAATAGTAGTAGTAGTATACATTATTTTATGATTGTAAATTATGATGAATGTACTGGAAAAATAAATACGTCATTTTACTACTGAAATTAATTTTATTACTAACGAAATAGTAAATTCATTTCTTTATTATTTAATAGTGACATAGTCATCGTCGTTGTGGTATTAGTGGTAGTACTAGTTTAAGTAACATCATTACTTCATTACTTGTTTTTACATTTAGGACGATAAAACAAGTTCTACAAATACCTCTAATAAATGTAATGAAAACGTTTTTATTATTAATATAATAATTATTTTTGACTGATAATTATGTATAGATGATATATCCAACCTACTTATTAATAAAGTAGTAGTGGCAGTACTTATAGTATTAGTTATATTACTTCATGACGACCTGGAACCACACTCACGTTTTCTTGAAGAGACCTCCCAGGCCGCTGCCGACCAGCAGGAAGAACTGCTGGAAGAAGAAGACCCAGATGATCTGCTGCAGACTGGACTGGGTCTGACACCTCAGGTCCAGGATGGTGGGACCCAGAAAGGCGATACAGAGTCCGAAGCTAAAGAAAACGCTCCAGTAGGTGAGAGTCTGCGGCCAGTGGAGCTTAAACAGCGACCAGAGCCGATCGTCCACCAGCGTCATGGCGTTTTTGTTTACAGTCAAAAAAACAAACAAACATACAAACAAAAAGACACAGACGTTACTCTGGACGGCGGCCCATGGCAAGTTGACTTTCTAAGTTTCGACAGTCAGCCACAGGGCTTCTTCAGTCTGGTGAACGTTCAAGGCTGTTGACGCGGACGTGGCGCTGATTGGGTGACGTCTCAAAAACCCCGCCCACTTTACCTGGTCGTTGAAAGGATAAAAAATATATACGTTTTAAAACCGATCTACCTACGTACACACCTGTTTGACTTGTTAAGAAGTAATTAAAATAATTACAGTTCACTTAATGAAATGCACTGCAATCAAACAGAACGCACAATAGACAAAAATTAATAAATCAATATTCACACACACAAACACTCGCGGCCTTTTTATAAGTCGACTTTCAAACGAAGAGAGACAGACATGAACTAGATGGCGCCGAAAGGCTATTCAAACATTTGGAATGTTTCAAGACGCAGTACATAGAATTAAAGAGACCAGTGAAACTGGCAGTGACAACCATATTAAAATGTATATTGAAATATGCACGTGAATATTGAGAGTCTATTTTAGAAGCAATGACTAAAAGTACAACCAGTTTGAAGCAGTAACAGCTTGAAGCAGTAATTGCTGTTACTGGGTAACACGTAGCGAATATAGTGGCATGTTAGCCGTGTTAGCACACAGTACGTACAGGAGTATCAACATTCTACTTTTAAAACAAACAAACAAACAAAAACAGTCTCTCTCTATTAAGGCTAGACCAGGCTAACTCGGTCAACGCCGTCACCCCTCTCCCCCTTCTTTAGTCGTCATCAATGTGTGTTGCATTTCTGCTACTGGAGCCATTTAGGAAGAATTTAGGGTTCCCCCGTAAATTCGCTTAAACATGTTGATATTTTAGCATCGTGTTCTTGGGCGTGTCTCTAATGTACTGTTACTATATCCTTCCTAAAAATAAAATGAAATGTTGATAGAAAAAAAGGGATTGACTTTGGGTGTGCTCTTGTCGATCGTGTTTATCCGGTTGCCTTATTCGCTAACAGAACATCCGTTTTGTTCCTGTACTTAGAGTACAGTAGTACTGCGGGCGGAGTATGTGTACATTTGAATGCTACGTAGACACCTGTCAAAACTCCAGTACAGATGAACGAGTGGCAGCTATTCACATCTGCACAATACCGCCGTCTAGTGTCAACGTTTGTCAACATGTATCGTAACCATATCTGTAGTTCGTGCTTCAACACCTCCAGCTGATCGCTTCTTGACATAATTAACTGTATAAATGTTACGAAATGACTTTGAGCAGATGGACGTTTGGTTGAATTCAATATTATATTTATTTAAAATCAACATGACGCTCGTTGACGACAATACATTCATTTTCTCAGTGCAGACAAATCACAGAAATATCACACTTCATACAAAATTTAACTTTTTATAAAACACTTAAAACTTCTGTTCATTTACTTTTAAACACAGCGTTTTATCCTTTCAAACGTAGCATTATAGTCACTTTAAGAAACAAGAACATCTGTTAAAATACCTATACTTCTCTAGTAGTACTTCTCTGTTCTTAGGGTATTTAAAATAGTTTCATTTACCACAACTAACACAAGGTAGTACTGTACTCGGGTCACTCGCTGAAGGGGGGGGGGGGGGGGGGTTCCTTAAATGAAAACTCACCTTTTTTTACCTTGTACTTCTCTAACCTCCAGTTTTCTTACTGTCAGCAGGGGGTTGTTGGGTCATAGCAGGATTTCTCCATCACCTCTGGTCACATTTAGAGGTGAAAAAAACAAGCAATGATGAAGGAGAAGATAAACTAGGTGAGAACATAAGAGGAATAATAATAATAGTTATAAAAATAATATGTTCAAGAGAAACGAGAGAAAAAAATCAAATTCAGATTATGGACCAGATGAAACCAGTTCCAAACCAGAGACAACCCTGAGAATGGACTGCTGACTTCAGTTTAAACTCAAGCAGTGTTATTTATCTGGAGGATCAAACCACACGAAGAGTTTTCAAGAAGTCTACAGCAAATCGTTTGCTTTAAAAAAAAAAAAAAAACAACAAATATTTTGAATAGACATTTTTCAAAATACAACCAAACCAAGTCAAGGGACTTCAACTCTACACTTTTGTTCGCCTTTTGTCTCTTTATTGAGCACGTAGCTCCCTTCACCTGACCTGTAGGTGCTGCTAACAACGTTATGTTCTACCATCCACGCATACACTTGTATTGTTTTACATGAATGTATTCTTGTTGAGTGGGTCAGATGTGATTTACTGTCTGCACCTACAGGATAGTACGTTAGCATCGCACTAGCTTTGACTTTTGTTCTTTTCATTCAAAGTAATCCTCTGTGAGGCTTACTTAAGTACTCGGAAGGTTGTAATCCTCCGTGAGGCTTACTTAAGTACTCGGAAGGTTACGTCCGTTTCCTACATAAAGTCTTCTGTTATGACAGCAGTGAAGGAAACAGTGTTTGCTACAGCAACAAAACAGTGGACCAAGGAGTGGTGAGTAATTATGCCGACAGGTTGAACTAGAGCAGGGCTGGAGAACCTGATTTCAGAGGTGATGTGTTTGGCATCATCGTTACACTCACACTCATTCATGTTCAGAGACAGTACCAGGATCACACACAGCTCAGACACAGAGGGGAGGGAGCGGGCTTCAGAGGACACTTCTGGTTTGTGCAAAAGGACATTTAAAATGTAAGATTTATAACAGCTTATTTACAGACACTGAGCAAACGCCTCCTACAGTTCACCACTGGAAACTACAGCTCAATAGAGGTTCTTCACGAGTTAAAATATCATGCACAGTTTACTAAGGCAACTTCAAGAACAGAGCACCACAACCACACACTGCGCACACACACTGACACACACCACACACAGTTGCAGTACAGAGGCAAACCTGTCAATGTGATTCATTCCAGTTCCCATGTTAAAATCACGAAGAGTGTGTCAGGAGTGTGTGTGTGTTTGCTACTGTTTTTGTGTTATTTACTACACCAATCATCCAGCCGAAGTCTATCACCGTTAAGATTAACTGGCTAACCCTGAAGCTCAGGCGTCATATTTGACCTGACATTGAGGTCGTCAGGGTCTCCTGTTGTTGGGTTCAAAGGTTGGCTGCCTTTAAACCATCTTCAGAACTTTGTTAAAACACCAGTAGTGTGGTCTACATAACTCCAGTGCTAACTGCTGGTGTCATGGGAAATAAAACAATGAGAGAATATTTTAGACACAGTAGAGCTGAGGAGGAGACTCATGAGTAGAGGAGGAGCAAACGCCTCCTTTTGGCTCCTGCCCCTGATTTGCAGAGATCAAAAGAGAATTCCAGGAGAAAAAAAAAACAAAAAAACCCACAGGAACAATCTGTACTTTTGTAACGGCACAAGTCCATTGTTGAGAAGAAAAATATATATAAATAAATAAATAAAAAAATAAAATGACCTTCAGGCTACATAGTTGTTAGTGGTGTCTCCTACACACAGACAGACTGACAGTATTTACCCCGACAACAATAAACATATTAACACTCATTAGACAGACCTGGGCTCAATAATCTGTTGGTTTATAAGAAACTGATGCTGCTTCCTGTACAACTGGTAGTCCTCATCACCAGTGGTTCTAAAAGTGCTTTTTACCTGTCTCCCCCAGTACCACCAGTATGTGCAAGAAGAGAATTTGTTACTATCAGACTTTCAGACTTTGCTCTGGCAAACTATCAGACGGTGTACATGTCGGACAAAGACACACCGTACAGTAGAGTAATACTGAGTACAGGTGCTTCCATTCAGTCCTGAAGTAAACACACGTAGACTGGCTCCTGATTCGCAATTTTCTCCTGGACACTAACCGTTTGCATTGTTTTTTGGGGCCCTCGTATTAAGTAGATTTATGATTTTCCCAACATAATTTAAAAAAATCCCCCCAACTACCACCAGGAGGAGCCCGAGTACCCTCAGTGATATACGTAGGTGAGTTTGAGAACCACTAATGTAGATTGTTTTTTTTCCTCTGTCATAATTCCTAAAATAATCCAGAGAAGCCCGTGGTGGAGTGGCTTAAACTGCTCATGATTTCATTTGCAGGTAAAATAAGACTAACAGTTGGTCTGTTGACCCACAGTAGAACCATTTTCCCACAAACTGTGATTTATGTCAAGCCCCTTTAAAACTCCCTGTGGCCCCAGCATCTGTGGGCAGGACTGGACCTCACAGCTGTATAAGAGTCTCACCAGTTTCTTATAAACACTACTGTCTAATGTGTGTTTGGACACCAACTGTGTTCTGGTCCATTAGTCTGAATGGACCAAGATACAGTCGTCCTCTCGCTCTGTGTGTGTGTGTGTGTGTGTGTGTGTGTGTGCAGGAATGTCCATATGATCAGAATATTTGATTGGTCAGATGTGTCCATGAATGACTGTGACCGTGGAGTGTGCTGATGAGTGTTAGTATCTCTCTCTCTCTCTCTCTCTCGCTCTGTCGCTCTCTCTTTCATTACAGGAAGTTCAGAAGATACTTTGCCTTCGGTTCTTTCCTCGAGCTGGTGACAAAGGGACAGAACAGTCAAATTAAACTGCAGTTCTCACAGGTGACAGACAGGCAGTAATAAAAACAATCCCATCATAAACTCTCTGTCTGTGTGTGTGGGTGCTTCAACCTCAGGTTAGCAGCCCAGCCTGCGTCAGAGCAGCCTGACTGAGATCAGGACAGTGAAAGGACAGTCAAACGGATTGTTCAGGACTGTTGACTGACTAATACTGATGTTCTACAACACACGGCCAAGATGAACAGTAATAACTGAAATACACCAACTCTATAAAAGGAGTTTTTTATGGACATTTGTCCAGAATAATTCCATCATTTGGATTATTCACAGGGGAGAAACACTGACATCTACCTGCTGATGGTGATCTGTCTGTTCTGTCTTGTCATATTTAGGAATGCTAAATAATAAATTCTCCTGATAATATGTATTTATGAGTATATATATATGTATCTACAGTTAGATATAGTTTTCAAATGAAGAGCTCATTAGAGAGAGGTGAAGAACAGTAACTAGTTGATCAGAGAGACCTTTGTAATTCTATTTATTTCACAGTTATGAAACAGTTGTGACTGGACTAATTAGCAGGTTCATGTACTGGGCCTTTGGCATTTCAGGTGCTGTGGTCAGGAAGAAAACAGCAGCAGGATTGAACCACGAGACAAGAGAGAACGTGGACAAAACCACATACTTCTCTCCTCATTAAATGGTCCAGGACCCAGTGACGGTTATGTGATAACCATATATATATATATATATATATATATGTGTGTACGGGTGAGAGAGAGAGAGAGAGAGAGAGAGACAGATGACTCACTCAAAGGCTGGAACAAGGAGCTGCGGTGACCCGGGTCCTTCTGGAGCTGCACCTCTCTGAGGGAAAACACAGACGCAGCTGAAAGAGAAGAAGGCGGAGACAAACCATTGAGATCCTGGTAACACGCCACGCAGCATTATGTAGAGAAATATGAAAATTCAAGGCAGATGACATTAAATATATATATAAATAAACAACCAACGATTGGATAATTAGAGCAGCTTCCAGTATATTGGAGACCAGAGGTTTTCAAAGTCTCACTCCAGTAACCGTCAATGTCCAACATCCAATAATCGTGGTCATTCTTCCTCTGTTCCTACTGCAGTAGTGGAGTTATTCTCCATTGTCACTGTACCTGGAACAAATCCATCCCTTCATTCTCATCTATCTTAGAAAGTTCATTCCACCTGCCGTGACGGCCTCTGGCGCCCCCTAGAGGGAGGCATGCCCCCCACTTTAGACTTCAGTATATGATTTAGCAGGACAGTGGGCTTAGTGTGTGGTTGCCGGTTTGACTCCGGCCCACGGCAGGGCTGTGGTGTGTTGAGGAAACAGAAACGGTGTAGTGCAGCCTGCAGATCTGATGGGTTCAATGCAGAGGTCAGAGGGTTTTGTTTTGCATGTGAGAGAGTGTGTGTATATGTTCAACAAAGAATATGAACTCCATCTTCTTCTTCTACTGTGATAATAAAAGCAGCAGAACTCCATGACAAATTGACAGTGTGACACTAAACACTGCAATCACAGTGATACAGTATGTGGACTGAACACATCTGAGGGACATAAGTGCATGCACCGTGCAAGTGTGTCTTACTGTCTGCCAAATTGTGAATGTTCTCCCCCAGAGTTTGGAAGTACTGGTGTCGAAGAGCGCCTTCAGATGAAGTTCTGCTCCTGGTGTCGTACTGCAATCAAGGAACAACAGTAGCTGATTAGACCAACCAATCAGGACTCAGTCCACACTAGGTCACTGTGGGTTTTTCATGTCTTACCAGCAGCAGAGCAGAGAGCAGGTCAATGCCCTCTGTGTCCAACCTGGTGGAGACAGGAGGAAAAAAAGAGACAATATAATTTGTCTCCTGATTAAAGGGCTTGGACACCGGTACCAGTGATGTCCCTGATGTCTCTGTTAAGAAGGACATCTTGCGCATTATCACACAGGGGGTCTCCAGTCTTTTTCCCAAAGTGACTACTATAGAAACATACAGCCTTATCAAACTAGTCCCATAGTTGATCAGGTTTAATTAGTCTTTCAGAAAATGTCAATTGAACTGTAGATGTTTGCAGTTTCGTCATCAGTCCTGTGAGGATCAGACATTTAACACTAACGTAGCTTCTGCTGTTATTAAAACTTTTAAAAATTCCTCGGAGCATCCTGTCTCTCACACAACAATGAACACAGAAGAAGAAGAATACATGAGTGTTTTTAGTTTGTACCTGGGCACATGGTTGATCAGAGCCTGAGGTCTGTACTGAGGAAAGAGGTACGACCTAAACTCCTCATGAGTGCTGATCCCAGGCCAGCTGTCCTCTGTGGGCGTGCCTGAGGACGAGGACAATGAGCACAGTCATCACAGATTCATCCAAGATGAAGCTCTGAGATGTTGTCATTTGATTTTGCTGCTGTTCTTCTACCTATGAGTCTAAAAATGAGGTGCAGCTCCTCCTTCACCGTGGCACCAGGAAACATGGGACGACCTGTGGCCATCTCATACAGGATGCAGCCCACACCCCTGCAGGAAGGTTGGAGGAGAGTGAGGCCTGACATGTTCAGACTGTAGGTGAGCTCTCTGTTTGACCTCTGATTTGAAAACCACCTGAACATTAGACTGTGAGTGACTGAGGCCACACTGCTGAAGGGGGAGGAACTGGGCTTCACCGCTGACGTTTGTCATTTAACATTTAATTTACCAGTCACAACATCACACACTGAGAAAACCTCTGGGCTGTTAACCTTTGACCTTGAACTACTTCATACACTGCTGAAATAAAGAAAACATTTACGTCTGTCAATTTCCTGTATTTCTCCCCCCCTTCGTCTCCTCCTCTCTTCATGGCTCACATCCCCTCTACCGCCTCGACTCCTTCAACCTACCACCCTCCTCACTTGTCTTTGTCCAGCTGACCTCCACCTCTCCACCCACTGAAGCACCAACTATTAGAATGATCAATTTAACCTCTCCACCACCGTTGAGGCTGAGGGGGAGGAAACTCACCACATGTCGATGGGTGTGGAATATTCTGTGGAGCCCAGCAGGACGTCAGGGGGTCTGTACCATAGGGTCACCACCTCATTGGAGTAGGTCTTCGTGGGGACGGACTTTGCTCTGGCAAGGCCTGAGGAGACATATGAAGGCTGTGAGCCTTTGAAAACAGCAGTATGATTTTGTGAGTTTGTTAAGCTGGATATTTAACCACTTTGGTTTAATTGAAAAGACATTGAAGCTGATTATATGAGTGTGTGTTACTCCATCACCTCACCTGAGAACAAGCATTTTGATGTTTTTTCTTCAGCTAAAACCTTTGACTAAACAAACTAAAGGAATTTAATTGCTGCACCCACTGTTAACAAAAATGGGGAAACTTGGAGAGAAGGGCTCGGTTGCTAGGATACAGAAAAAAAAAGGCTTTGAAATAATAGAGATAAGAGACAGAGGGTAAGAGGAGTGAGAACGTCTTCAGAGGAAGTGACTCTAGTTGGAAACATCCCAGTGTATTATAAGACACCCAGGCATGTACTGCACAGTACACACTGTGTACAGAAAGTGTGTGGTTGGTAGTGAGTTCTGAATGTGCGAAGGAACTGTTCTTCTACCAAAGTCAGCCAGCTTCAGTTCTCCTTTGTCATTGATGAGCAGGTTCTGGGGCTTCAGGTCTCTGTGGAGGATTTTCCTCTTGTGGCAGTAGGACAGACCCCGGAGAAGCTGGAACATGAAGATCTGCAGGAAAACATCAACATTCAATCTGCTGTGTGCTGTGACCTTTGACCCTCCTGGACAAACATGTGCTTTTTTTTTGGTTCCAGTAACTGGACCTCACCTTCACGTTGTGCATGCTCATGAGATTCCCACAGTTATCCAGGTACTGTTTGAGGTCACTGTCCTGGAAGACAAAATAGTTGGAAGACAACTTTGACACTGATCTGATCAGCTACGATGCAGTTTGTCTTTGACATGGATGTCTCCGTCACTCACGAGATACTCGAACACTAGAGTGAGGCAGCGGTCGGTGTGGATGATGTCATGTAGCGTCACAATGTTGGCGTGCTTCAGGTTCTTCAGCAGAGACACTGTGGACGAAGACGGACAATGTTTTTAAAATCACAGCAGCAGCAGCTGTGTTGTGTCCTCACAACATGACAACAGTGTTAAAGATGCAGAGATGTTTAAACTCCACAGCATGGAGGAGGATTTAACACACACAGTAAATACATAAACACTCCTGACGACCAGCTGCTGCTTCTGTTTTAGACCAATAGTAGCTGCTATAAAAATACACTGTGTTAAAAACACAAATATTCATGTTTATTAATAGGCCGAAAAACAATGTTTGTGTTAATTACAGATACACTAATGTAGGTAATCATTTCTTAACTTGCCCAGTCCTAATATATTTAATGAAGGATGATGACAATGTTAACACTGAAAACTTTAAATATAATAAATAATATATCAATACACTTTACAAATACAACAGCAAAACCTTTAGGATGAAGGAAACAAAATGTTGTGTATGAAAAAATATATGAGTGCATTTTAGTAACCACACCTCAACTGACAGAACTGTGGAAAGGTTTTAGGCAGGTGTGAACATTTACGTCTGCCTTTTTTAAAAAGGTGTTTTTAGTGGAGAGATGTGGAGAAAACAGAAGATCATTCACAACAACATTAAAGGTTTTCCAGGCATTTTATATGACTTTATGAATAAAGATTTAAATGTGGTTTTAGCTCAGTCCTTGTAGGGGATTGGGCTATAACCAAACTAAGAGATCACAAGTGGGGGGTGGGGGGGCACCTCCCTGTTGCTGGGAAACAGGCTGTGGTTGAACATGTTCTTCTCTTCATTCTACTTCAAATATTTGTAAAATATTTTACAGATAAAGTTGATGGAAACTTCAGCAGCACTGAAAAACCAGACCAAAAAACCAGTCTGATGTCTGGAGGTCTCATTCAAATACTGGCTGGTTTTAAAGTAGCTTTTTTAATCTACCCGAGTGACGTGTGTGTGATGTGTGTGTGTGTGTTTACCCTCTCTGATTGCTGTGCACGGTGCTCCCTCCTCGTGCTCCAGTCGGATCTCCTTCAGTGCCACCAGGTTCTCTGTCAGTTTACTGCGCCCTTTGAAAACTGTGGCGTATGTCCCCTGAAGTTAGAAAACACACACACACGTAAGCAACGGTCGTGTATATTTCATGTTTTCAGACCTCAGACCTGGTCTCATACAGTACCTGCAGTAATGACCAGACTACAGACTACATCAGGCTGGACATTCTACACTCAGCTCTGGACAAACATCACTTTACTTATAACAAAAGTCTAATTCATGTTCAACTGTTTTAAAGCGCCAACCTGCAGCTGGATATGTAGTTAATATTTATAGTACTGCAGTAATATTTCCAGGTCATGTGGTGATACTTGAGTGCAGCCTACCACAGTCAGGAGACTGGATTCATTCATTTCCTCCAGAGTTTCTCACAAATGTGACCAAACTTGTGATTCTGTCCTTATCAGTCTGACCGTCCATGAACAGTCCCTATTGGATAATCTCAGAGAATCAACAAGTGTCTGTTCAGCTGATGCCTTCAAACGTATCTCCTTAATCTTTATTAAAAAACAACAACCTGTCCCCAGGCACCAGCAGCTGAGACGTGTGACTCAGTAATCAGTTCTGTGTTTCTTAAGGACAGATGACTGGACTATCTGCAGACTTCATGGCTCTGTTTATCTCACTTCACGCTGCAGGTCTCAGCACATGCTGCAGACGTACATTTTCCCACTCACTCCATTTGTAAGCAGCAGGACTCGGGTATAACTACAGTTAAACTGAGGATACAAACAGAGCCAGTGTGTGTGTGTGTGTGTGTGTGTTTACACTCTGACAGGTTCTCTGGTCCCTGAGAGCTTTGACTCACAGTCACACAAACAAATGTTATTAAGACTCACACCTCCAGCAGGCTTTGGTCAGAGCAGGTGAGTCACTGCAGAAATATCAGGTTTATTTCAGGTTTTTCAGTCTTTTGGGTGAATTCAACTCATGTTTTTCATCTGTCTACTACAGTCACAGTTTAGTACTACTGTAGACTGGATACACTGTTGGTCTGTACCAGGACTGTTGTAGCTAATGTTAGCGCTGGTGTCTACAAAGATGCAGATGTTTGTAGAAGTTGATGGGAACCTACCTCACCAAGTTTCCCAAGCTTCACATATGTCTCCAGTTTCCCAAAGCCAATGTCAGACTAGAGGTAAACAACAGAACAGCAAGACAGATTACACCTTACTTAGATTACATGTTATATCTGGTAGAATATTCTACTATTATGTCAAATATTATATGATGAATGATTAGATCTAAAAACAGGAATAACATCACAACAGCAGTAAAAAGGAACCATGTCGCAGCCGCAGACACCGTGGCTTTTCTTTGAAAAGATGATGCACTAAGAACCTGTCTCTCTACAAACTCAGTATAAGTCTCTGAATCAGTGCCATTAACACATTTGATAAACATCCTTAATGTCATGTCAAATACTGCTGGACATAAACCTCTGTTTGCTAACTGTCTGGAGGACAGTAGATAAAAAATGTCCAACATTTATTCTCATCATCTGACTGTTCTACTGCTCATTAGCTCGAAAAGCCACGGTGTCAACGCATCAAGACTTTATCGCTTTGATTTCTTTACTGTTCCTGTAAAATGTTAAATAAAAAGAATCAACTTCATTGTTCATTGTATCCGAATAAACACTCTCTATCAAACCCATTCCTAAGGAGTGGTCAGTGATCCTCTGAACCACTGGGTCTCAGGCCTCTCTCACAAAAACATGATCTGTTCTTGTTTACAAAGAACACACAGGAGGTTCATGGTCCTGTTACGTCTCACCCCAAACTTCAACTCTTAGCCTCACGTCTGAGATTGTTTGACATATGTTTAGTTGGTATCAAGACCTGGTGTTTAGATTAATACAGTTGAGAGAAAACTAACCAGTGATGCACGACGGGACATTCGACTGAGAGGTTTGCAGAGAGGTGAGTTTTCATTCTCCAGCTGCAGTTTCTGGAGAAACTCTGGAGGCAGACGGATGTCCATGGGCAAAGACATGCGCTTACTGACATCCTGCAGAAGTCAACAGACAGAGGAGTGAGCTCTCTTCAACCAGACTGCTTAACAGAAACAATTAGGGGTGTGTATTGGCAAGCTGGGGATACCATACGCATCATAGTTACAGAGGCAATGATACAATATTATTATATTATATTATAATATGTTTGAGATGGTGGAGATGGAGATGGTTGGAATAACAGTAGAGGAGGGAGGGAATGCTTTGAGGTGCTTTACACCTGAACACACACAGTCTTTAAGAGTCAGCACGTCTGACTGGTGGCTTTTTCACAGAGAAAGGAAAGGGTGGAAAAGACAGTAGAGAAGATGAGGAGACAAAAGATTGTAACCTTTGACAAAAGAAAAGTGTATTTTAGGTTAAGTTATTGAATACTCTAATTAATAGTTTAACCTTTATTTGACACAGGGAATATAAACTGTGCTGTTCTGTCAGAACAAAGTACAGACCAGGTCATGGTTATCAGGACACACACACGGGGATATTTTATTTCTCCGCCAAAAAAGGCACGGTATTGCAAAATATGATATAGTTTATATAATAATATAAACAAGAGTACTACAATTAAAGAGTTTATAGGACATATCAACAGCAGTGAGTTTGAAAACAGACGGCAGCAACAGTGGCACGGCAAAGCAGCAGCTGAATGAAAATACAAAGTACAGACCTAAAAAAAAAACAAATCTGTTCCTGTTGAGAGAGAATTAGAGAAATGCACAAAAGAAACTTTTTTTTTTACCTCCATTGAGAAACGTCTGTGCTGGGCTTTGCTACTGAAGTGTAGGTGAGACGGAGACTCGGCTGCAGGTGTAGTTGCTTCAGGGCTTACTGGACTGGTATCATGAGATGGAGGGCCCAGTCTGTCTGGGGTCAGACCTGAGAACGCAGAGAAAACAAAGCAGTTCTAACAACAGACTAGACTGGTGCAATGGTAATGTTATGGCTATGAACTGGACACTGCTGTTTGGTGGAATAGTCTTCATTAACGTATACATTAGCATTAACATTGGTTGTTAAATGTTCTCACCATTTCTAATCAGTCAAAAGAACCTTTAGTGTGTCCATAGAATTTTGGACCTAGGTCTCACTGGTTTCTTTTATTTAGGGCCCTATCAAAAAAGTTTGGTTTCCATTTAAATTTTTTGGAATACGTTTTTTTTTTTTTATTACCTTTTACTCTATTTTATGACCACATGGGTGTGACAATATAAACAACACATTTTCTTAAATGGAAAAACTGTGCAAACCACAAGCCGATCAGTTGTGTAACTAAATATGCTAGAGACTGCTAATGCACCAATGAAAACTGTGATTTGTGGAAATATTAGGACACACAGACTCACATTGTATTGTATCATGAGCGTTCTGGCCTTCTAAATCTCTCATTTTCGCATGACACATTCACCGTCTGCAGGGGTGGCTACACAATTGAACACTCCGGGAACATTTCCCTCTTTGTAACTAATGAAAATACACTCGTGTGAGTCAGTTTGGTTTCATTTGTATAAAAAAATAATAGAAAATGGAAAAATAATATTTATAGCCCACAGACAGAAAATTGCAGTCATTAAAGTAGCCAAGCGGACTTAATTGTGTGCTCGGCTGTACGGAGGGCAGCCAGCGTCTGTAGAAAGCCCTTCTGACACTCTGCCTATGACACTTAAAAAACAAAGTTAACATGGTGTGTTTTTCAACTCTTACTCCGTAGTCGAGCTGTATTAAAAACTAATTTGTATTAACAACAATTGTTCACATCCCTTTGTTTGGCTTTGAGATGATGGTGATCATCGCTGCGGAGGAGATCAGATGTGACGCTGAGTGAAAGTGTTACACTGAGCTGTTTGAAGAGTTCACTTTCATCTCAAACTGTAAAGTGAGACGAGTGTTTGATCCAGGTCCTGGGTCTAATGAGTTCAACTACAACTGCACTATAGTCTCCAGTTACACTGCTGTGTGTGTGTGTGTGTGTGTGTGTGGGTTGAAGCATTAATCGCCTAAAGTCCTTGTTTCCATGGGGACAATGGCTGATAAGTAATGCAGACATGGAGTTTCCTCCTCTATGTCTTTTAGACACATGTGTATACCATATACACACACACACACACACACACACACGCACACACACACACACGTATGCTCTGTTTGGTAATACAGTCAGACATTCAACGGTATCTGATCATTAAACTGGCAGTGACACTAAAACAGAGCTGGAACACTGAGAGAAAATGAAAAGTGACCACTGCTCTGCAAAACCTGAGAAGAAGAAAGCCTTTATCTGTGTGTGTGTGTGTGTGTGTGTGTCACACTTAGTGACAATACACATGAAATGACAGCCAGTTTGTTTGTCATTTGAATATCACAGCTACAGCACTTCTATGAACTGCCGATGCTAATGAGGGTCAGCACAGGCCAAAAAGGACACACACACACACACACACACACACATTATCAAGCACATGCACAGACACCTCGTTTCCCTCACCTCAGCCATTACAAAGATATACCTAATCCTAATCCTTACTCTGATTAATCTGACCCCAATTGTGGTCCTGAAAACTAACTAAATCTTGAACAACTATAGTATTTCTACACTGTCCACGTAAGTATGGTTACACCAACACACACACACACACACACACAGTAGACGGTTGTTGAGCAGTATGGGTCAAAGCCTGCTTCCCATCTTGTTAGAAAAGGACAATCCAATGTGTCACCACATGATGTTGTCGTAACATTTCAATCTGAAATTGTGATTAAAGAGAGAGAGAAAAAACCCCAGTGGGGAATATAACAGTGTGGAACTGTTGTCCACAGTGCACCTGTCTGTGGAGGTGGAACAAACCAGCCACGGACCTCTGAGTCTAAAACAAATATCCTGTGACCACAAACAACAACAACCTGGCTGTGAAACACTGTTAGTCATCGGGCCTCCGTACATGACCTGATCCAAACATTGTAATCCACCAGAATATAAGCCCACTGATCCCCTGTGACTGAGCAGCAGCCTGTGGTACCAGACATAACAGGAAAACACTAATTAATTGGTGCAGGTCGGTCGCAGACACCAAAGGACGGAGGAAGAAAAGAGTGATGTAAATAACCCAAGAACAGGTTTGTGTTCTGTTACAGAACCTGTTTATTTGTTCAAGAGTCAGTTAAAGATTAGAAGATGCCGGAATCTGAGCCTGGTTTATAAACAGGTGAACAATTGGATGTTTCTATTTTTCTTTTTTGTTCTCAGTTTCACTCTGACGTTCAACTAAACCATAGCTAAACTAAACATCTAACACCACTTTTCATGACAGTGATCTGAAAATGTTAGGGTGGATTCACTGGAAGGAGACGTAGGACAGTTATTTAACCATCACAGTTTCAGTTGTGTTCAATGACTCTTGATGTGGACACTTTTCAGACATTCTACCTTTTTGTCCTTTTTTTTAAATTTAGTTTAATTTGCAGTCAGCACTGTGTCAACTCTGACACCATTAGATACTGACACCTGCTGCAGCAGTTGTTTTTTGTATTATTATTTCTTGGAGAATAATGGGTTTTTTATACTTTACATATTATATCTAGTTTGTTATTTTTCTAGAAGCAAGGGTTGAATAAACTTTACTGTAACCTAACCTCAAACTCTTGTCTCAACCTGTCCAACACAATCTAATTAGGTCTAATTTGCTTTTGCCACATGTAAATAGATTAATAAAGTATTCAGTCTGATATAATCCAAACATTACAATATAATCTTATCTGAACCAATTGAATCTAATCTAACCTAGTCTACTCTAATTTAACATTGTCCCAGACCGTCATGTCAGTCTAGAGGACACAGATGGTACTGCAGGTGCTCCTACCGTGAGCGTGTTGACTGTTGAAGTGGTTGATCTGCTCGGTGAACTCGTTCTCATCAATGGTCTCAGTGCGAGGAACAGACAGAGAGAAGCGCCTTTTAAAGTTCTTCATCTTGTTCATGATGCTAGGAAGCAGACACTGGAAGAGAGGCAACAGAGAGAGCATATGTTATACATGTGTATATGACAGAATGTTTGAGCAATGGATTCACACCAGACAAGCAGCAGCTTCACGTTTCCACAATCTGTTTTATAGGAAATGCTTCACGAAGCAACAAAGCCAAACCAAGAACAAGTCATGGTTTTAAAGCTAAACCCTCCAAAAATAAATCTTCTGATGTGCAGAACATTGAGGACAGACGGCACCAAATCAAAGATTCTAATTTGAAAGTACATGAGCGTGAGCAGTTTCCTGACAGATCTTCATGTGTAGCTCAAAACAAAGACTGTGTGATGCGATAATGAGGCAGAAAACAGCAGGAAACTGGTGATCAAAGGACTTTCTATCTGCCTGTTACACAATCACAGACAACCCAACTAGTTAACTTCTCCATCTAATTCTTTTTCCTTAGCTCCCTGGTCTGGTGGCTTCATAACCTCTGCTCCTGGGGTCTCCATGTTCACTTTAGTGTCACAGATCTGACCGTGTGTTTGCTCATTACTGTGAAAGTCCAACACATGTCTACCTTGGCTTCAACTACAGCAGGGCTCCCACCTGTGGTCGGCCGCCTCAGCTGCCCATCAGGAGATCTTCCCACTGTTTGCTTCAGGGTGTGTCGCTAAAATGGTCTCCTCTGAACTGAACCTGGTCCACATGCAGTGGTGGTACGGTGTACTCTGTACTCTCCATCCTATCCCTCATTAATTCGATGATTAGCTTCGCAGAAATGTAGCCCCAAACTTGGAAGATACCTCCACTGTTCTTCACTGATACCTGTAGAGACACATTATTCTTCTGTTCCCCCAACTCTAGGGCTTCTCACCTTGGTCCACAGTTTGAACGACCACAGCTGTAGTGTGTTTACATATGTGAACAGAAAGATGTACAGAAAGAAAAAGTCTGAGGCACTGGGTGAACTGATAAACAATGTGTCTGAGGCACTGGGTGAACTGATAAACTGTAGTGAACTGAGGAGGGTCTTGTAGGTGTCAGGAGACAGGACATGTGTGACCTGGATGAATGGATGAATGGATGAACAAAGGGACATGGACGCCCAGGAACCACCCATTCACCCATACACACTGGAATAAAGCCCACATTTTACCATACAACAACTATGGTCGACCCAAAGGAGTCTGAACAGTAACAAAATGTGATGTTCACAAAAGTCGAAGAGCTAAGAGAAAACCAATTATGTCTTTCTGAGACATAGAGAAGTGTGGGGGCGGCAGCCATAAACTGAAGAATGAGTGAGAGAGCAGCCAAAAAAGCAACTTTGTTAATGAGTAATCCTCAGATTAGTGCAGGGAAAGAAAAGCTTTTCAGTTTACATGAGCCCAAGAATGTCTGAGTGCAGGAAAGAACACTTCTTTGGTGCTGCTACTTAAACACCCAGGTATTTAGATGAAGAAATCAAAACATCTTACACATCTAACAAACACCTCAGCAGCAAGAATTAAGAGTAAAACGCTTGTTAACTACTGTTCAAGAATATCTGAAAGTGTAGGTTCAAATAAACTGACCCTCAGAAATGCACCATAACTGTTTATGACATAAAGGAGCCCAGACATGTTTCTATGAAAAGACAATCAATGGAACCAGGCTCCGTGTGGAGCTGGTGTTATTGTGGTAATGACTTTTGCAATGACAGAAAAGGTGGCGGTTGTGGGGGCAGACTCCCCTCGGTGTCTCTGCAGGGGTGAGTGATACTGTGCATTGTGTAGTAAAAAGAAGAGGAAAAAAAAGCCTTGCTACAGTAAATAGAGAGGCTTTAACACCAAAACCTCTTTACTGAAAAGTGTTCATATATATCATATCATCATATCATATATAGACATATATATATATATATACACACACATATATATATAGAATCCTTTGAATAAAAGGCATTTAATGGTGAGATCATCATGTCATCATCACTTTGAAGTTACAGAAAGAGGGGGCAGCAGTCGGTTGAAGAAAATAAAGAATTAGAAAGATGTTGAAGGCACTAGTGGTTGACAAACATAAATAACACAATTAAAAATGGAGAAGAAAGAAGACCCTACTCCTCTCACCGAGACTGAGAAGTTGCAGTTGAAGAAGAGCAGTGCATGGAAACAGCTGAAGGTCAATGAGGGCTGGAGGTTTATGTTGGGACACACTGAAGCTAACGAACTCCAAGAAGACATTGAAATCTTCAAACAGGTGTTTGAAAGGCACGTGGAGGGCTTGGATGATGTCATCAACAGTTTAGAGCGCGACCTGAATGAGGTGGAGCGTCAGTCTGCACACGTGCAACGGGTTCACCTGCACCTTTTAGAACATCTGAGCGCCATGCAGGACAAACATGTGCTGCATCTGCAGCACCAGTGGGACAACAATCTGAAGCACCTGTGCACCACCTTCCACTATGAAAGGAAGCACATGCATGAACATACTCAGCAGCGAGAGGCAAAGCTAGAGGAAGCAAAGGTCAACGTGGAGCAGGAGCACCAAAGACTCACAAAGGAAATCGACAAACTCTACAACGATAGCCTCGCCTCCTACAGGACAGCGCACGAAGCCTGGGATGATGCTCTGGTCCATGAGGGACAGGTGGCGCTGAAGGAGCAGGCTCACAAGAACTACAAGCTTCTGAAGAACCTTCGCAAGGAACAAAAGGAACTGAATGAACTGATCATGAAGAAACAGCAACACATTCAGATCACCAATGAAAAACTGGCAATGATCAAAAATGTGGAGAAACACAGGGAGAAGTTGAGGTCCATCCAGAGAAGAAACGAGTTGATGGAACGAAACCTAAAGAACTCCATCTTTGAGGTGAGGCAGAAGACCTTCAAGCTCCGTGACCAGTTGACCCAAGAACACCAGGCGGCAAAGAAACAGCTTCTAGAACTCATCATGAACAGCGATGCTGCCACCAAGAAACTGCAGATGGTGATCAACAAAGGTCAGAGAGTTCTCCGAGTCGGTAAAATGTGCTGGAAGCTGGAAAGGAAGATTGGACCCATGGGCCTGTCTTTGCCCCTGAATGAGGGGGAGGAGGGAGCGGCTAAGGAAACAGTTGATTTCACAGAGATACCTAGGGTGATGCATTCCCTCAACATCGCTCTGCTACACCGTGAATCGCTGAAGAGAGAGAGAAAGATCCTGACCAGGGAGAACGCCCAGCTGAGATACCTTCTACGTAAACAACAGGATGGAACAATCTTCAGTGAACGCTCTCTCAGTGCACAGCACACACTTCTCACCATTCCGCAATCTTCGACGAGTGCCTCTAACAGTATGAACATCTGAGAAAGCTGCGTTAAACCAAGGCCTGAAAAAGTTCAAGTTAAAATACGACCTGAGCCTCCTGGTCCTGTCTGTTCTCTGGGAAAACAACACTGGTGCTGTGTGTGTGTAAATACACACTTTAACTTGACAGACCAACTAATTGTTAAATTAGTTGACAGATACTATGTTTAAAACTACTTTTGAAACAGCCATTTTGAGGCCAAAAATACCCCAATGTTCAGTTCAATGGAAGTTTTAAAATAGATCAACCTAAAATGACACACACAGCACATCCAATACAATAACTAATACAAGTCTCCCTACGCTCTGCAAGACACCGTCAGGATGACCAGTAATGACAACAAATACAACAACTCTATGAAGAGACATTTTCACTGAGACTGGTGGAGATTTTTATGGACTCTGGATTAGTCAAATATATATACGTGTGTGTATGTGTATTAGCTGGTAGTGTGTCTGATGAAGCCCACAGCTTGAAGATCCTGTGTGGACACATGGACACTTCAGGTTGCTATGACGTCCGATCCCTGTCTATGCTTCATGCTCCTCTTTGATCTCTCCCTCTTTTAACACCACCTCCTGCTCTCATGCATATAGATCTGTCACCAAACAGTGAATAATTAAGTTAAGCTGACCTGTGAAAAGGACGCTTCAGTTTCTACAAAGAGCCACAGAGTAACAACACAGGCGATGAAGGAAAGATTTAACAACATCCACTGGTGAGGTTACATGCTGGGCTCAGACTCGTCATTCCTACTATGTTACCGTTACTAAATAATACTCAATGCATGGCTGGTTGTTTGACTCCATTTTTCCACAGCAGCTGCTGTTTATTTGAACTGGTTGATTAGCTAGGTTTCAAATATTAAAACACTTGAAATAAATAAAAACAATCTTAGAGCGAGTCTGTACACTGACAGAATGAGGAAACATGAGCAAGTAAACAACACACACACGAGTGTGTAAGGGAGGAAATTAGTCTTAGATCTTCTGTAGGTGTGTGTGTTTGTGTTTGTACTTGTGGGAAGCAGAGACCAGAAATTCAGGGTTAACAACAGAAACTATTTTTATCTGTATGAATGAAACAAGAGCACAGGAAATTAAAAATGAACTTCCCTGGGTCACTCGGTAATATTTGTTTCCTCACTGGATTGACTCTGATGTGAACAGTTAATGGTTGTAAAATTAACACAGCAAGTTCCCAAGAACAGACACATTTATACAGATCTGCTGCAAACTGAGTTCAAGGCCAATATGGTGTTCAGTCACAGTCTCCTGGTCCTGGTGCCTCAAAGGTCAGGGCTGTACCAACATGACCCATACAGCTCAAACAAATGTTGTCCTTTTGGACAGGAAACAGATCCACTGACATCAGCCATGTTAGCTTGACTGACTCTGTGACACACTATCAAACTGCCCTCTGCATTTGCCCCATGCTTCAAACAGGACAGGTGAGCTGCACCACAGAAGCGGGGGAGTTTCTGGTGCATTATGAAGCGCAAGCCATGGGATTCAAACCTCCCTCTGCAACCCTCTGATCACCAGCCCTATCCTGTCACCTCTAAGGCACGGAGAGTCGTTAGCTGGTCTGCACCTTTGAGTGTTGAGAGAAATGTGAGTTTTTCTTTTCCTGGAGCTCTGTGGCTTCGTCCAGGTCAGTGGACACAGCAGAAAATATGACACACATTTATGTATCAAACTACATGAAGCACTCAGGGAGGAGAGGACACGCTCCAGTTCAGACCTTCTTTCATCCTCTCCTTCAGCCCAGGGCTGTAGGATGAAATAAATAAAAGAATAAATGGCTGTCAGAGGCCCTGACGTGTATGTGTGGATGGGGGTGAGGNACAGCTTACTGTTTGTGACAGCAGCACAAGCTGCCACATCAAGCTGTGATCGCTAAAGGGTCAGAGGGAGACGCAGGAAGAAAAGAGGGTGAAGATAGACGTAGATCACACAGAGGGGAGACAGAGGAGGGACAGAGGGGAGACAGAGGAGGGACAGAGGAGAGACAGAGGGGAGACAGAGGAGGGACAGAGGGGAGACAGAGGAGGGACTTCACCACACACACAGTGATACAGTGCTCGTGTGTGTGTGTTGTGTTCAGTGTGTGTTCTAATGTATGCTATTATCCTGACCTTTGACCTGAGGCTACATCACTGCATGCTCCAGTAGTTAAAACAGACAGAATAGTAACACACACACACACACACACAGTGGTTTTTTATCCTAGTGTACAGTACATCTCATACCGACACTGTTTCTGACCTGCCAAAAACAGACGGACACAGGACAATCAGAAACAACACCAACAGGTAGGAAACAAATCTCAATCCTAACACCTGTTCTCTTAATAATCTAATCTAATCCAGGGGTCCCTGGGCTGCTCCATGGTCAGAGTCGTGGACCTTAGATCAACACTGTGAAGGTTTGAACCAGACACAACTATTTACATATGTGAAGGGAGCAGGAGCGACCTGTGAGTGTGAGACTGAGTCACATGTCTAATAATGGAGTGTTCATAAGCCATAGATAAAGTATAAACATGGACTCATGTCTGTTGATATAAATAACAGAGTGCTAGAGCTGTCGGGCCAGTAAATCCATAAACACAGCCTCTCTGGAAACAACTCCCTTTTCTCACCAGAGGAACTCACTTTATTTCACACTTACACTACAGCATATAAATAATTCATAATAATTCAACATTCTACTGTCTTTGAACACAACTTGATAAATACAGATTTTGTATAAGTTATTGGCATCATTTCACATTACACATCCAATATTCTGTCATCACATTCTCCCATCAGTAGGTAAAAAACAATCTCATCTTCTCTCTGTTAACGTAGCAGAATGACCATTTATTAGCTGTGTTCAGCATGTGTGCCCACCATAACTGGTGGCTGCCTGTGGTCCAGTGGTTACAGGATTGGCCATTTAATCTTTAATCTATGGCTACAGCTCATCCCAGCTGTGTTTACAGCAACAAAAACCTCCTCTGTTTATGTCCACATGTCACACTCTGGCCCTGGGTGAACAGTAGCTCCAGTGTTTGAACAGGGGCCTTGAACCAACGACAACGACAACAACAACAACAACACCAACACGCAGCCTTAACACCAGACTGTCCCGCTCTGCCCCAGGATTCTAACATCCAAACCTGACTGTTCCATAAGAACTGCAGCTGTAAAATGCAACATAACGTAACGGTGATCATTTTAATTTGATGTAAACACTGTGCAAAATCTGTTTTGTAAATAATATTGACTTGACATTTGATTTGGTTTCCTAACGTGAAGTGGTTTTCCGGTAAAACTGTTTTTCCCCTCACATGTACGGAACGGTGCAAAAGTTATAGGCAGACTCATCACCACCGATGTAAAACAGATTAATCTGTTCCTGGACCCCGGACGATTGCTTTTTCAAACTATTTCAACTGTATTTTTTGTCCAGGTTCATACACGAAACCAATACAAATAATTACGTAGCTCTAACAATGATGTTCACTTCACTTTCTCAGAATCATTGTCTCTGACCAACTGAAAAGGGGGTTGTTCGACAAATGACGTTCCACTGTATTTTAATATATAAGTTGCACCTGAGTATACATAAACCCAGCCCAGGATTTAAAAAAAGTGCAACTGATGTCCAGAAAATACAGTACTCCTTCATTCATTCAAGACTCAAACAGCAAACACTTCAAGGGTCAGAACATCCCTAACCATCCCTCACTGCTGTGGTTCTCAATGGCAAATGTCAACACTAAATACAGAGGAGGAGATGGAGATTATTCTAGGGGTGTTTGTCTGTTGATATTTCCCAAAGGTTTAGACCCACGGTCGTGCCAAACACGTCACACGCAAAAAGGCACGTCCCTAAGTGGCGTCTGTCTCTGTCTGTGTGGCGGAGCTGACATCTCATTATCTATGGCAGCTGCAGCTCCCGACCAACAACTGCTGAAAACAAGATTCAGGATAATAATGCACCAGAGGAAGAGGAAGGTGAGTGTAGTGAGAGGCACAGACTCACATCCTGGACTTCACACAGCTTCTGTCTCTC